CCAACCGTTCTAATAACCTTGTTTTTAAGGTTTTACCTACGCTTCTAGTGTGTGACACACTGCGTTTATGTAATTACGTGTAAAAATGTGTAAAAAGGCATCGGCAGCTCCAAATACTGGACCCCGATTTCAGGGACGTCGCCTCATTTGCGAATCTACCATGGAGCGTGAGCAGCTCTCCTGGCTCTTTGTAGCCAAAACAATGCATTTTTAGTTTTTTGCACTTTTCTCAGCCCACAGGCCGTTTTAGGGCCTGGGAATCCGGTTATAAATTCAATAGAAAGCTGTCTTTGGTACGACAGCGATCAACAGCTCGCTTCCTCACATCCCAAAAATAGATCCCCTACTCACTTACACAATCAACACTTAAATTTACGTTTTTCACACTGATTTGTCTTTTTATGTTGGCGGTCGGAGCTGTCGGAGGGTCGGAGATTTTATGGTATGGTGGGTCATAGGCTATGTGCAAAAACTTTTTTCCAAAAAAGTGCTTTATGACGTTCAGTTTTTTTAGCCGTGGTGAGGAAGCAAGAAGCAAATAGTTATGGCCACCACACGATGCTATTCTAAAGGTCTCCATCCAATACAAACCTTGTTTCCAGGAATTTGTTTGAAAATAAAAACATGAAGTTTAACAAACGACAACTCATCTCATTCTTGAACTCCCGATATAACCACAATGACCTCGCGACTTGCCTCATCCGCTACCGCCGCTCTGCGTCGCAGCCAGGACCCAAAGCTCGCGGAGAAGTTCAATCTGGCCACTCTGAACGGCGGCAAAAGCCCCTTTGTCGTATCGAGCAACCGGCTACTGAAGGTGAACAAGAAGCCGCAGCAGCGCATCACGGATAAGTTCTCGCTCGAGTATTTACTGGGACCCAGCAAGCCTCAAACGGGCAAGAAGAAGAACCCTTTCCACGTCGCCAGTTCCAAGCTCATGTGAGCTACAGTCCCAAGGAAGGATGCAGCAGCCGCCACTTACTACTATCCTGTTCCGCATGTATAATCTACTCAAATACTACTACGTTTGGCGCTATACATGATGTTATATATCCAACCGCTGCGAGGCATCTTCAAGCGGAAATGATGAGGCCCAAACGGAAATCAACGGAGCGTACGGTGTTCCATGTTGGTAGCAGTAGCAACTTCTGTCTGTAGTGATTTTTGGATCAAGCAGTGATTCTCTGCGCTGGGCTTGCACCCATTTTGGAGCTCAGGCATTGCCTGCCAGACATCATGAAGTACAATAGCTTCGTGCAGCAAAAGACTCGAAGGTATCCAATAGATGATGCCCAGAATTGTTCGTTTGTCTCGTGCTCGGTGACGACGTTGGGCGTTCACAAACGCAGTGCCGCATTCGTTTCAGCATGTATGTTGCAAACTTGTCGAACGGAAGAAGCGGAAATTGTCTGCCATGCACATGCTGTCATGAGTGCAGGCGACCAAGAAGCAGCAGCAGCCCAAACATACACACTTAAACCTCAACTAATTGCAACTGTATATGAACAGACTTGACACCACAGAACCCGCAGGCTGTTAAAGGTCAAAATGGCATTAGTCCTACATCTCCTCGCTGTAAATAAAGAAGAGCTGACGCGAAGAACCAAAGCACCGAGCCGACTCGCCACCGGCCTCATTCCTCGCCAGCCTTCAACCTCTGGAAACTGGACGGGACAGCCGCTCGACTCCACCACTCGATGACTCTTGACCTTCCCTCGTCACGACGCGCCGCGCACTTGCACGCAGCCGCCAAGCCAATTATACACCATATGAATAATGCAGAGCCTCCTCTGCTGCCGTCGTCGGCCGAAGCCCCTCTCCAACGAGAGCAAACCCCGCGGTTCGAGGCTTCGACCAACTGAACCGGGCCCCAGGGCCACCAACCAATCATCCACCGCACACTTCACCGAATAGCCCAACGTTCTCCCCAGTCAGGTGAAGTCGCGTAACACGCTTGCATTGATTCCCCCAGGGCCACGTAGCAACAAAAGATTCCAATGCCACTAGACCCGTCAGCTTCCGCCTTCCACTTCCTCGTCTCCTCCAATCCTCCAGTCCCTCTCCTTCACCACCTCCTCTTCTTCTTCATCTCTCCGTGTCGTCGTCCCACCTTCACCATCGTCAACTCCTCTGATTAGAGCGGAGCGACTTCCACTCGGTCGACCCGTCCATTACTTGCTTGCCTCCGACTGGCGCAGGTGTGCCGAGCACAGGCCTTTGCGACGGCATGGCTTGCTGCAGCCCTCAATGGTGCAACGCTTGCCACCGCCGTGCGTAGCGCACAGGCCTCCACCGCGGTCATTACGCATGCAGCCTGGCACCTCGCACAGACGCGAACCGCCGTGGAGCGCACAGTAGTCACCACGTTGCGTTCCCTTGTCGCAGCCGTCGAACATGCAGCGCTTGCCACCACCGTGTGAGCGGCAAAAGCCTCCGCCCTGCGAGCTGCGCGTGCAGCCAGCGAACTGGCAACGCGGGCCACCACCGTGAGCCTTGCACAGGAAGTTCGATTGTGCGGCCTTGTCGCAGCCCTCGTGGCTGCAGCGCTTGCCTCCGCCGTGACGGATGCAAAGGTTGCCGCCCTGCGAGCTCTTGTCGCAGCCCTCAACAGCGCAGCGACGACCGCCGCCGTGCGAGATGCACAGACCGTTCGAGCGCGAGCGCTTGTAGCATCCCTCGCTCTTGCAGAGACGGCGACTCTTCACCTCACCTGGCTTGGTCATGATCTTGGGAGCCATGTGCGGCTCCGGGCGACGCGGAGTCAGCATCAGCTCCGTGTCCGTGAAGTCGGACTCGAGCGACTCCATGAGTCCCTCGATGGGGGAGCCCGTCAGCACGTTCAGGTTCAAGATACCGTCATCAATCTCCACGGTCTTCTTGGACTTGTCCTCGGGAGCATCCACCAAAAAACTGTACAGAATCGACATCTCCGTACCGTCAAAGCCGTCATCCAGGTTCACGAGGTCGGGTTTGTCCTTGCCGATGCTCTCCAGCTCGCCAGGCATCGAAAAATCCAACAGCTCTTCCAGTTCCTGAGCCTCAAAGTCGGGCTGCGGGATGGTGACTTCAGGCTTGGCCTCCACGGGGGCAGGGGTGGCCGCGAACTCGCTGGGCAGACCCATACTCAAAAGATCGGTCGTCGGGGCCGAGCTCCAAGGCATAGTCGGCAGGCTGTTGTTCTTCGGGAAGGACACGAAAGGAAGCGCCGGAGGAGGCGCCGCCATGCTCAGCATGTTCATCCCGTCCGTGCCGAAGCCCATGTCTCCAGCGGCGGACCAGGCGGGCGCGCGGCCCGCGGGCTTAGCGTTCTGGCTCAGCACAGCCTTGTTAGCGCCTGCAGCGGGTTGGTATCCCGCGAACAACGCGACGGCGGCTGGGCCCATAGCGCCCAGAGAATCGCGTGACTCTATCGGCCGGCACATTCTCGAGCTACTTGAGCGTCAATGGTTTCCCTGTTTTCCTGGTTCTCTTTCTTTCTCTTCTTCGCACTTCTCTCGTTTCGAGCACTTTGCGTTCTACAGGCCAGCGGCTCTGTGTGGGTTTTTCTTCCACGCTTGCCGGGTAAAAAGGGTTCGGTTTGACTCTTTTTGGACGAATCCCCGGACGTGCTGATCAAGCCAGTGAGATGCGCAAGGGCTCGGGTTGGTGTCTGACCACCGGCTTCACTTGCTTTCAGTAAGGAGTCTGAGAACACAAAGAAACCGCACCACCCGAAAGGGCTGTGCGTTGTTGAAATAGTGAAAATGTACCGCAAAAATGTACCAAAAAAATCGCCCGACTTTGATAATTCCAGTGACGATTGAGCATGCAATCTGCTTGTAACAAGCCTTGTTCACCCTATCGGGAAGATTATACGTCGATGGCCAAGAATAGTTTAGCAGTGCCAAAAATAGCAACAGGATCCGTCGTCGGCAGAACTTCAGCGCCTGGTCGCGGGCCCTATACACATGTAATACGTTGCCCCCAATTATCAACGTTGTTGTAAGGGCGTTGAATCATCTTGCCGGCGCTGGCGTGCGTTGGTCTATACAGCGATAGCCGGCGTATTCTGGACGGCAACGATTAAGGCCAGTGGTTAACTCGAGATCGGCGTTAGTACTGTGCGCCCATGAGAACGCAGTGTATTTAACGATTGCCAGATGGGCATGAATGCTGTAGAAGCGCAAGGAAGTCGGCACCGCAGGCCGGTTGTAACGCAGGTCAGTTCCATTGCGCTAGTCATGCTTCACATAAGCGGCGAGAGAGATGCACGCCTGATGACATGGCTGAATAGCGTGAACCAGTATGCGTCTTCATACTGGTCGTGCATTATACAATTAGCTGCCGACACAATGAACGAGCTCTCCGTTGCGAGTTATGTATGCAATGCCAAAAACTGCCGACGATTATTTTCGGCATTTTTACAATTTTTTATTTTAAGCTTTTGTAGTTATCTTTATTTTTGGGATTTTGAAGCGCCCGTCTATGTGATGAAACACGGCGAACAGTACAGTGATTTTTAATACAGATCGACCCTTGTTCTGACAACAATTTGCCAATTTGGTAACCTTTTCATTCAATTCTACTTCCAAAATTCACCACATGAAAACAGTCATGATCACCAAATTTCTGCTAACTGCTTTACTATCAAATGGGCTATTTGTTCATAGCACATACGAACACATACGAGTTCGCCGGGGGCACGAGCACTGCGCTGCGATCGATCTACAACAAGTCCTTCAACAAAGACACGCAGCCGTTGACTGGACCGCCGATGGCGATGATGGCAATCCGTCGATGATGTGCTTCGACCCGCTAGTGACCCACCGGGTGGGCCACATCAATCTTGGTGTACTGTACAAGTTGTTCATGTACGGAACCTATTTCGATGTACGAAAAATGTGGCGCAGCGACATCTGGATCATCTTGAAGCCATCCCGCCATAAGAATGGAAGCACACGACATCAAGGAGAAGCTACTGCCCAAGATGGAGCCAATCGCGCCTCAGCGTCAACGACAACGGGTGGGTGAGCGTCCGCTTGCAAGATCAAAGCCTGGGGCTAGCGATGGAAGCGCGCCGGTTCGATCCGCAGCGTCTCCAGTGGGTTGTGGCCAAACTGACCGACTGCGGCTTGCAGCATGGCTAGTCTCCATCTCTTCGTTCATGTGGGGGTTCAGCGCCGCCGTACTCAATGTCTGTATCGTCCCAGACGCAGTGGGCTCCATTCTCGTTGATATTAACCTCAGTACGGAGGAGCAGGAGCGCGCGACGGCGCTTGTTGTCGTGGGTTGCGTTCTGTCAGCACTCACCACGGGTGGTATTGGTGCGCGTGTGGGGCAGAAGAAAACCATACTCATCAATAATGTGCTCTATATTATTGGCGGTGCTATCTGTGCACTCGCCACGTCCAAGCGCGAGCTCTATGCTGGCCGACTGCTCATTGGACTGGCGTCGGGTGTTGTAACCAACACAGTTCCGATCTTGTTAACGGAGATCTCGCCTGCCATCTCACGCGGGGAGATCACGTCACTGCATCAACTCAGTTTGACGATCGGAATGCTGGTGACAGCTGTACTGGGCTTTTTCTTCATCTCCAATGTGCCCTCCGGGTGGCGATACCTCAACGGATTCATGATCCTGCCACCATTGATACAGTGTCTGTGCGCGTCACTTGTACCGGAAAGTCCGTGGTGGCTTATGAAGAACCGTGGGCGTGACCAATCCCGTGCAACGCTGGTGTTTCTACGTCCAAAGAACCAAAAGGATGCCATTGAAACTGAAGTACAGGAAATCGCTCGCGTGATGGAGCACCGTCAGCACGAGCCTCATGTGACTTGGTCGCACCTCCTGGCACATAAGAAAGTCATGGTAACAGGCACTATCCTCGTCTTTTTCCAGGCTATGACTGGCATCAACACTGTGATGCTGTACTCGGCCAAGATTTTCCACTTCGCTGGGGTGACCAACCCGTTCTTCGCCACGGCCGTCGTAGGTTTCACCAACGTAGGCGTCACGATCATATCCGTGCGCTTTGTGGACTCATATGGACGCCGTCCTCTGCTCATCGTTGGTACTACTATTATGATTCTCGCACTCGGAGTACTGAGCTGGTCACTGCTCTACCTCAACCAGAATCTTGCAGTCCAGGGTACGGTCGCTGTGATATCGGTACTCATGTTTGTTGGTGGGTTCGCTGTTGGTCTCGGTGCTGTCGTGTGGTACGTTTACATTGAATTCTGGCTGTTGTTATGGATCGATTTGTTCACACAATTTATCTGTTGATAGGGTCATGCTAGGAGACATCACGCCGGTGCACATCCGTTCACGAGCGTTCGCTTTCTACATGGTCGTCAGCTATATCTGCAACATTTTAATTGCTGTGTACACGTTGTCTGCTATCAACTTCTTGGGGCGAGGTTCGAATCCCGAGAAGAATGGTATCGCCAAGCTCTACCTAATTCTCTGGTGCGTCACGAACTTTACCTTTTCTGTGGCAAATGCTGACTTGTTGTCATTGTGTGTTCTAGTGGTGTCGCTGTTGTGTGCCTCACGTACATCTACGCTTCAGTGGAAGAAACCTCGCATGTCAAGACGGCACCTGCGAAGGCTGATGATCAGAAATCGCTTTTGGCGGAGGAGGGACTAGAGACACTAGACGAGGATTTTGGCATTCCACGCCATACGACGGATCTATAAGTGCCAAGAGCTTCTGAGTACGATTTTTCAATCAATCACGACGACGATTGCATTGATAACCATGCGCATCTTGCCGTCGTATCACTCCACTGTGTGAGCTACTGCTCCAGAAGGCAAGCAGTCTCAGCGATCTCCCGCACTGCTTTCGCGACGGAGATGAGACGCTCACTGTGGTCGTTGGGTGAGAGCGAATCGGTGAGGATAGCCATCTTCTACAATACATGCAAGAAATACATCGCAAACGTTAATACTTCAATAGGCTTCCCAAGAGAGTGGTCTGCCATCGTTGAGTTTGTCTGATCGGCTTGCAGACATGCAAAAGATCGGACTGTCGAGTCCACGTGATCGTGCTTCAAACCACTCGCAAAATTCCCCAAAGGCAATAAGCGCACGATAGGACCGGCAACAGATTAGAATAAATGCGGATGCTCCACCTGATAAAGCGCAGCGAGAGTCCGACGGCGGATGGCATTCACTTCTGCGTCGCTGTCGGGACTGATGGTGCTCACCGCGCTGTCAATCTTGCGTTTCGCTGTAGCAAATAATGTCACGAGCAGAAAGCAAAAGCATGTTAGAGTCGATCGAAGTAGAATCGCAGCCTCGCTATACCAGCTCCGTATGTTGCCGTCGCTCGACGAGCCTTCACTTGCTCGAGTTCCTGCATCTCCTTGGCCTGCTTGGCTTGCTCTTCCAAGCGGAACTGCTGCTCGATGCGGCGTGCGCGCTCCTCCTCGCGCCGAGCTTCGGCCTCGGCCTCTTCCTTCTCAGTCGCAGCGAGTTCTTCAGCCTCCTGTTCCGCCTGCTTCTTGGCCTCTTCCTCGGTGACCACAAACTGGTCGCATCGAACACAGTACATCTAGCACCGCCACCAGAACAAGCGTTAGGTCTGGACAAAATCTAAATCTCCGCTTTTCTTCCTTACTTTGCCCTGCTTATTGCGCATTAGTGGCGTATAGCAGTCATCCACGGGACAGCTAGCACCCAGCATTGTCCAGCCCTGACGCCCACAGTCGATTAGCATTTCACGTCAACCTCGCTTGTCATTAGTCACCAACCTGCAGCATTTTCTCGCCCAGCAGCTTGCTTGCTTCGTCGCGCGAGCGCTTCACGGGTGCGACCGACTGCTGCGCACAATGATACATAGATTAACAGGTAACTTTAGCGCCGAGAGCCAAGAGAGAGCACCATCGAGGAGCGTACTCCTACCACATCCATTGCAATTACTATTGTGGCTACATCGAAATCCTGTCGTAATTTATACTTATTTTGGCGGGAACGCGTTTCCCGCTAAAAACATTTCAAGAACGAAACATGGCAGAAGACGCCTCCAGCACCGTGCGCGTGTGTTTGACACGCTGTCCGCTGCCACCAGCGGAGGAAAACGTGCACTCGCTGCCGTGCCGCATCCACTTTGACGGGACGGCGTCCGTCAAAACCTTCTTCCGACCGCAGAGCGGCGACATTAACAGCAACAGCGCGACAGGCTCCAATGAGCAGAACGTAGAGATGGAGACAGAGCAGAAGGGTGGCAAAGGTGGCAGCAATAGTAAGCTGCAAGCAGAGTTCCGCGGCATCCAATTACAGGGAGAGAAGCTTCAATTGGCTCCCCTGGGTTTTACAGGTGTGTTGCGAGCGATAATGGAGTAGCGTGGATCAACGAATTGACGGTGTCGTTGCGCAGGGCTCGTATTGGAAGATAGTGGCATGCGACACCCGGATGACGAGGGACGCGTTTGGGAAGTCGAAGATCATTTCGACGAGCTCACGTGGTGGTAGGTGTCCGGGCTGCAGTGCAACTTCAGCGTCTAGGATTGACAACTAACGTCGAATTGCTGTTCAGGGACGTCACGAATCACACTACAAGCGAGACTCAGCAGCTACCGCTAGTTCTCAAGCAATGGAGCGATCTCGCCTCCGCGGTACGTGCTTTGCCAAAAAGTCTATTTAGCAAAATGCATCTTCAACGTTTCCGAAATTGCGCCCGTGCCACAGTTCTGGGCAACCAGCGCTATTCGTTCAGGACGCTGTTGATTTGTAGCTAGGACCTCCATGCGGTACATGAACCCTCTAACTTTCTGCTTTTGCTTGCGTACATGGATAGATTCACGACGCGTAATTGAAGGCAGCAGCAATTGGAAAAGTGAGCACAGGAGGCAGATCGCAACATTCAACACGTCACATTAGCGCCACCGATCCCAAATTACTTCGATCATTTTCTGTCTTTGTTCATGCTAAGAAAAAGCTCCGGTGGCGGTAGTCGTTATTTTATGTCACTTTGTCGACGCTGCTTGTGTCAGAAAGCTATTCGAAATTCAGATCGCTCCTCGACGCGGCATGGTGGCACGAAGGACACACCCGCCGTGCGACGGGTGGGTGGCTCACTCGCAAAAGCTCGCGACGAGGAACAAGACGCTGCATTTGATTATGTCAGCGCTGCGAGCGCGGCTGGGAGATGCTGTGGCTAAGCTGGTGTTGCTGCCCGTAGTGGGCGTGAGTCTCTGCGGGGCCGTGACCCTCATTCTCGGGCTGCAATGGATGGAGGCGCTGCAACGCCAGCGTCAGGCGATTAAATGGCGTACTCGGCTGTGGGCGATGGTACTCGCGCTACTGCTAGCACTGGCGCCGGCCAAGCGGCTCGATGCTGCAGTGACACCGCACTGTATGTCGCCAGTGGACGAGAGATTGGAAGAAGGAACCGCTAAGCTGCTCAATAGTGGAGACAAGAGAGACGCCAACGATGGAGACGTCGATGGGACGGGCGAAGAAAGTTACGCGTCACGTCCTTTGAAAAGACAGAAGTCAGAACCTGGAGAGAGAGACGTAACTGAGCAGAAGGACGCACAGGACGACCAAAACGACGAGCAAGGACAAGCTGGAGATGAAGAAAACAAAGACGACGGTGATGAGGAGACGCAGCGCGAGACATTAAGGACCAAAGGTCTTTCCAAACGTGTTCGGAGACGCGTGTTCATCTGGGATTTAGATGAGACTTTGGTGCTCTTCGCCTCGCTGTACACGGGCACTTTCGCTCAAATGCACGGTAAGGAGGTTGCGCCTGGAGTAGCTCTTGGTGAGCAGATGATGACCTTTTTACTGGCGATGCTGGAGAAACATTTCTTCTTTAGTGACCTGCACGATACAGACGTGGACCACATCGCACATGTTGCTGCTAACGATTGCAGCGTGTCTGGCCAGGAACCAACAATACAGGAGAGATACGAGCGTATCCGCGAGATCTACGAGCGTCGCGGACACGTGGATTTTTTGCACGATACGAACAGTGAGTGGTTCGCCATCCGTGGCGCGCTAGTGGCAGCTATTGATAATTTTTCAACTGGTTGGCTGCACGAAGCTCGGCAAGTATTGGAACTCACTGCAGAGCCTGTGAACTCCCGAACGGGACCCGCTCAGTCCGAAACCTGTCCTAATGATACCAAAATCGAAGAAGAGGTGGAAAATGTGAACGTGTTGGTCACAAATACGCAACTGGTGCCAGCATTGTGCAAGTGCCTCATTTACCAGTTAGATGCATTCTTCCCGATCGATTGCGTATATTCTTCGGCAAAAATTCACAAGTATCGGTGCTTTGAAAGGATCATGGAGAAGTACAAAGCCCCCGACGTGGAATTTGTAGCCATTGGAGACGGGCTGGAGGAAGAGCAGGTAAGTCTTGCTCTTGGTCTAGAGTTCCACAAGATTCGGTCGCTTGTGGATCTCAAACGACTTCGCTACGACTTGCAGTTAGTGCAAGTCAATAGTAACAACTCCACGTCGAATGCTGCGGTGGTCGATCCTCCTGCTGTCGCTGCAGCTCCAATGTCTGTTGCCTCGTCCTCTGTCGGCCAAACTGCTGTAGTCTAGGCTACTTTAAAATTTCTAAGTGAAGTAGCAAGCACTATTTATTCATCAAGAACTTGTTGTATGGAGTGTTCCCTATCATTGAAGTCTTCCGCTATCGACAATGGTGCAGGGCACACAAGGTCGCTCTTGCCGAGTTTCTAGACCCCCGATAGTCATGATAGTGCGCCAACCACTCACCACTCGACCAAATGCCACTGCAATGAATTTGTTGTTAGTTTACAGATCTTTTCCTTGACTGATAGAGAGTTCATATTGCGTACCTTTACGACGATCAAGCCATGGTTGTGGCGCGAGGGTGATGAAGAACTGCGAGCCATTTGTGTGTGGACCCGTGTTTGCCATAGACTAAAAAGAACCCATGTCAGTACGTAGAACAAGCAGAATAGTGGTACAGCTATACACTTACAAGAATGCCTGCTGCATTGTGTGAAACAGCAAAGCTTTCGTCTGGGAACTCCAGACCATAAAGAGATCGACAAGGTCCGTCTCCTCGGCCATTGCCAGCCACATCCCCTGCTTGAATCCAGCCACCACGCACTACACGGTGTACTTGGTTACCCTGGTAGCCCAATTGTTGAGTTTCGTCGCTTAAATCAGGGACCTTGTGCTCACACAATGCCAAGAAATTCTTGCAAGTCTTGGGACACACACCGTGAAATAGCTCGAGTTCTACTCGGGGCAGCGCCACACCATCGACCTCAAAAATCAAGAAAGCATACTCATGGCCTGATTGTTCACGATAGCGTGTCAGGGCCTGCTGAGCTGCTTCCTCCGCCTTTGTCTCCAACGTTTCCTCTGCTAGTGCTAATTTTTCAACATAGTCTGTCCTGGAGCTGTCACTTCCCCCTTCATTGCCGACAGCCACAACACCTCCGAACGCAGCAGCAGCTAGCAATTCGTTTTTCGATAGCTGCGTCCGCTCCATAGCAAAATCAAGCAGCTCCTCTTCTCCGTCCAGCATGTCGTTTGACGAATCCAACAGCAGAATGATCGGCCCAGACGTTCGCTGCAACTCCGCACGCTTGCTCTTGGGTATTTTGTCTTGTTGGTTCTGTAAATATTCAAGGTACTCGACTTCCATCATCCCTTCTAGAGGTGACACGAAGATCGGGTGTAGCTTGCGTAGTTCCTGAAGCAATAATCTGCAACGCTGGTATGCTACATCTCCCATAAGACCCACCAACTCGCAGCATTCCATACCAGCCGACGCCATTAGTTAGCCTGCAACTTGTGCAACTGCTGCAAAGTACATCCTGTCCTCGGTTTATTTGCAGCTGACACCCTAAATAACAGTAGATCAAATAAAGAACCCAACTGAAATAACAGCAACATGTAGCAAGATACAACCCACCGCGCCCTGTTTCATTTCCCTTTTCTCGTATCTGTTCGACTCTTGATAAGAACGAGATAGCTCGGCAAAACATGGGCACGTAACAGCGAGCAACTTTAAACCTTGCTGTAGTCCATCTTGGATTCGAGTTTCTTGGTCTCTGCCAGTTTCCGCGCAGCCTTCATGAAATCCTCCTCCACCACATACTCGCGGTCGGCACGGATAGCGAACATACCAGCTTCGGTACACACATTCCGCATATCGGCGCCGTTAAAGCCGTCTGTGAGCTTGACGATCGACTCGTAGTCGATTTCGCCCTTCTTCGTGATAGGACCCGAGTGAATTTTCAGAATATCCATGCGCGAGGCCTCGTTCGGCAGCGGAATCTCAATCTTACGATCCAGACGACCAGGACGCAGCAGCGCAGGGTCCAAAATATCCGGTCGGTTCGTCGCCATGACCATTTTCACCTGTCCGAGAGCATCAAAACCATCAAGTTGGTTCAAAAGCTCCATCAACGTACGCTGGATCTCACGATCCGCAGACGTTCCCTCCGAATAACGACTTCCACCAATGGCATCGATTTCATCCATGAAGATGACGCACGGCTGGTGGTCTCGGGCGTATCCGAACATCTCACGGATCACACGGGCACTCTCGCCAATGTACTTGTCCACAATGGCACTGGCCACGACCTTCAAAAAGGTGGCGTTGATGTTGCATGCCAGCGCACGAGCCAGCAGGGTCTTACCCGTACCGGGGGGTCCATATAGTAGCACACCCTTGGGTGGTTTAATACCGACACGTAGGAACAGTTCTGGGTTAGTGAGTGGCAGCTCGATGACCTCGCGGAGCTCGCGGATCTGCTCGTTCAGACCGCCGATGCTCGAGAACGACACGTTTCCAGCGTCCTCATTCAGCATGTGGTACACGGTGGGGTCCACTTCACGCGGCAGGTAGCGCATGATGGTGAGCGTCGTCATATCCAGCGCCACACGTGTGCCTGACTTCAGCTTGCTCTTGTCTACCTTAGCGCGGCATCCCACGACGTAACGCGGGCCACTCGAGGCCTTGACGATGAAGCGGTCTTCGTCCAGCTGACGAAGCACTTCGCCGATGATTTGGCCCACGCTCTGTGCAGTGAAAATGCCGTGAGTGGAGGAATGACAGCAGTGAAGATGGAATTTAACGCGTAATTATGTACCTGTAGAGCCTTGAGGTCGTCCTCTGTCTTGTTAAACTCCTTCACGAGTGTTTTGACGTTCTCGCGCATGTTTTTCACTCTGAATTACATGAAAAAGCGACGCAGAAAGGTTAGAAATTTTCGAGATATGACAAAAGATAACAGCGGCATGACGGATCTAGGAGGATATATACAACAGTTGTTGCATGAAAAGAAAGCGACGCACCTGCTCTCCATCTCGCGATGCTCCATAACCTTGGCCTTGTACGCGTTCAGCACCTGCGTGCGCTCATCTTCGGGCGGAACGGATGCCATCTTCTCTCTTCGACGCTCTTGTGCTGTGCCCCCTTTTGGATACGATTCCATTTTATCCAATCATATGAAAATAATCATTCAATTGGCTGAAAATAGTTTTATTTTTGGAGCTGACTCAGCAAGGGACACATTGTGTAGCCAAAGCTTCCGCCGCTCATTCTCGCACTCGCCATGGAGCGATTCCTGGAGGCAGCCAGTCGTGTGAAGCCCTTATCGCGCTGTGAAATCGGGACGAGCTCGTTGAAGCAGTGTCTGACTCTGTTGGACTTAGTGGCGTATGGTGTGGGCTGCTCAGTGGGCGCTGGTGCCTACTCTCTCGTGGGTGTGGGTGCGCAGATCGCAGGACCAAGCATCTCCCTTTCGTTCCTCGTCAGCGGCATTGCCTGCATCTTCACGTCGCTCACGTACTCGGAATTTGCAGCTCGTGTGCCTGTACGTTGAAGGTTTGTCGTGGAGGATGAATGGGGGGTCACTGAACTGTGTGTGGTAAAAGGTCACGGGCTCTGCGTACACGTTCGTGTATATCAGCTTTGGCGAGTTGGCCGCGTGGCTTATTGGCTGGAATCTAACGCTCGGATATGGTATATCGGCAGGTAAATGAGCAGTTATGGTTATCTTCCTCTTGAAATGGACTGACACTGTTTTTTTTTTTTACGCTGCAGCTGGAATTGCACGGAGTTGGTCTTCATATGCACACTTGTTCCTGCAACATTTGGGTCTTCACCTCCCACGTTGGCTTGTGCAAGCAGAGTTTTTTGGCATGTCATGCAGTATCCTGGCCGCATTCCTCATTATTATCTGCACGTTCATCCTTCTCGCTGGAGTCCACGTACGTACACAAGTCAGACGTAGGCGTCTTTAATTATTTACTCTATCCATGATAGCTAATACGGTTATTCTGTGCGACAGGAATCCGCCAAATTCAATGCATTTGTGACGCTGCTGAATATTTCGGTACTGCTCTTCGTGGTAGCATTTGGAAGCACTGAAGTGGAGACTGCATACTGGGAACCTTTCATGCCTACAGGAGTTCACGGCGTTATGACAGGAGCTGGCGTGGTATTTTTCGCGTACCTGGGTTTTGATATGGTGGCTTGTCTAGCGGAGGAGGTTCATGAACCCCAGCGCACGTTACCCAAGGGAATTATTGGCTCTCTCCTGATCTCTATGACGATCTACGTCGGAGTTTCGCTCGTCGTGACCGGAATGGCGCCCGTTGACATACTTGGTAATGAGGTTCCTCTGGTAAATGCGTTTACTTTCCACGATGCGCCGTGGGCTGGACGTATTGTATCCTTCGGTTCCATTTTTGGGCTCACCACTGCTGCGTTCACTTGCCTCATGGGCCAACCGCGTATCTTCTACCAGATGGCTAAGGATGGTTTGCTGCCATCAGTATTCGCCAATCTACACCATCGGACTCACGTTCCGGTTGCCAGCACGATATTTACTGGTGCGCTGGTCGCTGCTATTGCGTTCGTCTTTGATCTCAGCTTCCTGGCCAACGTGATCTCGTGTGGAACACTACAAGTGTTTACTTTTGTGAATGCCGGAGTGCTGCTGCTGCGCATGCGTCCAAGTCTTAGTGGAGCTGGTGTTGTTCACCGCGTTGTGCTGTTCGTGATATCCTGCTTTGCGTTGTCGTTGTCTTTCGTATTCGACCTCCCATGGACGGTTCAAGGCGTGTTCGCTGCGATGGTGATTGCCTCATTCGTCTTCATCTATCGACTGGGGAAACTTGGGTACGTAAAGTCGACTTTTTTAGCTCGCTCAGATTTAGATATTCTAATGTTTTTTTTTTATCTTCCTGTGGACGTAGTGATCTCACCACTTCATTCCAATGCCCATTGGTGCCATTTGTGCCATGTATGGGCATTCTAGCCAATGTGTACATGGTGGCGAGCATTCCTGGCGAGGGATGGTACGTACGTTTTGCGATCGGTAACTGTTGTTTATACTTTGGTGTTAACTTTTGTCTTGCAGGATTGGTGTGCTTATATGGCTAGGCGCGGGTCTGATTGTATACTTGTGCTACGGAATCCGCCACAGTCTTTTGAGCGATCCAACCACCTTACATCCGCTGATTTAACGACACGACGCTGCTGTGATAGCATAGAAGTACAGTACCAGTATCCGCAAAAGCAGCGAGAATCCCAAAAATGTACCCATGTTGCTTCACTTCAACAACACCATCCAATCACAGTTTAGCATCTATTTCAGGTGGATGGCTTCGTATCTAAATGGGCAACAGCGCACCGAGCCGTGGTTACACCGGCGCAGGAGCCGATGAAGACGACATCTCCCTCCGTGGAATGCCTCCTGCCTTTCCAGCTGCCTCGATCCGACAACGGAGACATTGATAGTGACCCTGCTGAAAGTGACTATGAAAACAGTTACCAGAGTTCCTCCAGATCTCGCAAATGTGACAAGATGCTTGAGCTGTACCGTCAGGCTGTACCGCTCGTCCAGCCTCAATCAACTGCTGCGATCAGAACTTTGGGAACAATTGTACGCGATCGCGAACTCGTGAAGCGCATGCTGCAGCGCCCGCAGCCATACGTCAAGCAGCTTGATCGACGTTCGAGTCCCGCGTCAAGATCTGTACCAGTATCAAATTCACCACCGTCCGCCTTGCCGTTATCACCTAGTGCATCACAAAACACCGGTAATCGTCACTTGGCATTCATGGCTGCGTGTGAGAAACTCTTCGTAACTTTCGATCCTCAAGTGCGGCATACTCGACGTATCAAACTTGTGCAGGTTCAGCCATTGTTACGTTTTCATGGGTTGGAGGTAGATAATGCCGCTTTTCGTCGATGGGAACAACGCCTGCCACCTTCAAATGCATCGGACCCAACATCAACGTCAGGACCCACAGTCTCGGTCAGCGAGTTCATTCAAGGATGTCAGCTTTGGTTCAATGAGACGTTCCTTATCGAGCACGTACAAAACCTCTCGACGTGGCAGAAACAGCAAAGTGTAATGAAAGCAGGAAAGGGGAAGTGTCAAAAGCTATTACCACTGGAATACGACCACCAGCAGTCTCCAACGCAGGTCACTCAGCCGCCATTTGACCAGCTCGCACACGAAAGTGACGCAACGAAAACTTTCTCATACGAGGCATACGCTCGCAACCCACCGCCGCGAATACCATCACTCAATCCTTCTGCTTCTGCTCCAGCATTGCTTCATGCAAAGTACTGTTCTTACAACAAACCCGATCCCGTTACGTTGACAGCGATAAGTGAACTAAAAAACACCAAACAGCAGCAACGTCGACAGAAGAAAGAGGCCGAGGAAATGGCTCGAAGGGCAAGACGACAAAGCACAGAGATTGCACGCGCGTTCACTGCAAGTGTAGCCATGATCTCTCGCCACGTACACAACGAGGAAGTACGCGATCACCGAGAGAGCGAGCTTGACATGCAAATTGCTCGTACCGACCAGACTCGTTACTGGAGTCGACTGCACAGAGCTCACTGTCAGGCAGTTGGACAGGAAACACGCACTCAACGAGCCCGTGAGGTTTGTGCCATGAAGGCGCTCGCCGCAGAAGAATTACTCTTGTCCCGTGACTTCCGGTCGCTCCGTGAGGAAGTGGTGCGTCGTAACAAGCCAATGTTCACGCTGTCGTCTTCCACGAGCACAATTATCCCTGCGCCACCCGAGATTCTGGCTGCGCGCGCCACAGCCAGCACTGAGGCAGATCACAAACGACTTGCTCGTGTGGAACGCGAACATGCTGAGCATATGCGCAGTTTGCAGCTGTTAGACTACGCGTACGATCGAAAACGGATGATGGCCGACTCACTGCAGCCTCGTGCAAACTCTGCGTTGGTTGAAGTGGACGTAGCCGACGAAGAACTCCCAGCCGAGCGAGTAGTGCAGCTAGCAGGCGATGAACTCTGGCGCCAAATTGTCCAGCGACAACTACAGGGAGATCCAGAGAGCATCGCGTTGTTAATTCCGCCCAGCAACTCACCGCCTGCAGCTTTGCGATATTTCGGCACCAGTCGACCGGTATCGATGCCGGCGTTCGCTTCAACTGTTGATCGTAACCTTCAAAAAGCGCAGACATCATAAGTGAAGCAAAAAATGTGTATCTATTTGGCAAGCAAAGCAGGAACAAACGCTCCGATACCTGGTACCGAAGCACCAAAGTTCCAGCTTGTTAATGAGTGGCACCCTTGCTCATCTTGTACTTCTTCTTGGCGATAGTCTTGGGGTTGAAATGGCCCTTGCGGTGCTGCTGCTTCCATTTCTGACGACCAGCAGTACTCTTACCCACACCGCTGTTGCCATAGCTGATACGGTCCTCCACAGTCTGTTTCTTGTCTTCAGCGTCAGGAGCTACGAACGTGTGCAATGGATCATTGTCCGTACGCCGCTTGCCGTCGGCGAGACGCTGGCGCTTGTTGTGTTTCTTCTTGGTGCGTGCTGGTGCCGGTGGCTGCAGCTCGACAGGCACAAGGTAGTCCGGGATCGTCGCGAGATGGGGCTGTACTGGTGCAGAGCCCACCACCTTGTCATGCTCTAGCATGTTGAGATCACGCGGGTTCGCCTGGAAATGTGCTGCCAGACGCTCGGAGTTGAGCATCTCCTTCTTAACATCAGCCAACTGAGCCTCGCGCACAGCGACGCGCGTGACAGCACGACGAACGTCTTCCACACGGTAACGGAAGCAATCGATTTCCTTGAGGTCGAAGGCTAGCTCAGCAGGCTGAGCAATAACGTCATTTGTCTCGGAGCGGACAGCCTGCTGCTTAGCCTGCACACGCTTCAGCGCACGCTCCTCCTTGGCATCTTCCTTGCACACGAGCGACAGGGCTGTACCAGAGGCACCACCACGCGCAGTACGTCCGATGCGGTGGGTGTAAGCACGCACACTTTTCGGGAAGTCCACGTTAATAACAAACTGCACACCACGGAAGTCAACACCTCGCGATACACCGTAGTTCTCGTCGTCAGCACGTCCACGCTTCGCGCCAACCGTCTTCTTTTCCTGCTGTTCATCGTTGTCACTGTCCTCTTCACTATCAGAAGTCTCCTTGTCACTGTCCATGGCTTCATCGTCCTCCTTCTCACTGTCATCATCCTCTTCCTTGTCACTGTCGGCCTCGTCACCTTCAGATTCAGCATCCGACTTCTCAACGTCTTCTTCTTCTTCTACGTCGCTTACAGCTTCATCCTCTTCACCATCCTCTTCTTGCTCCTCTTCCTCGTCGTCTTCATCTTCATCGCCAACTTCGTCGCGATCCACGCTGTCGTCCGTAGCGATCAGATAGTCGAAGAGACCGCGGTTGAACTCCTCGATAATGTGCTGGCGTGAGTTGTGTGGCAGCTTCGCGTTCAGTACCGCGCTCTTGATCACGAACTGCTCAAAGAAAAGCTTGAGTCGGTAGGCCGCATCTGTCGAGTTGACGAAAAAGATGACCTTGCCGCTCACGACGCCAAGTCGCAGCAAAGCGTACAACAGCAGATCTTTATCGGCAGCCTTGACCGGCAAGTAGAACTGTTGAAGTTTCCCGTCCGTCGCTCCCTCCTCGAGCTTGACGACAGCGGGGTTGTGCAGTACGGAGCGCTTAAGTTTCTCCAGCTCAGGACTGAGCGTGGCAGACATGCAGAACGTCTGACACGCCTTGGGCAGCGCGTTGAAAATGGTGCGGATGTCCTCACCGTATCCGAAAGACAGTACCAGGTCTGCTTCATCAATGACGACGGTCTGCACTGAGTCCTTGAGCGTGAGGTTACCAGCCTCTAGATGAGCCACGAGGCGGCCAGGCGTAGCAACCAGCACATCGGGTGCGTCACGCAACAATGCTTGCTGCGCGTTCATGCTCTGACCGCCTAGTGCCAGTAGACTCACTGTATCCTGGCAGTAGTACATGAGGTCCATCATGTGGCGGCGCGTCTGTTCCACCAACTCCTTGGTGGGCACTAGCACCAGTGCGCGCACGGCCGGTTCACTGGCGGGTGCGTCTTGCTTGTGCTGCAGAATCTTGTGTAGCAATGGCAACGCAAATGCCGCCGTTTTACCGGAGCCCGTGCGAGCGCGAACCAGCAAGTCCTTGCCCTGCAGAGCCAGCGGGATGCAGTGCACTTGCACCAGCGTGGCATGCACAAAGCGCATCTTCGCCACCGCCTTGGTGAGGCGGCGATCCAGGCCGAACTCGCATTCAGCAAAGGGCTTCTGTCCGTCCAGAAGCGTCTCGCTCACCTTGGGCTGCGCCATTGCCACTCAAACAGCTTTTATGGAGTGAAATGCCGCTTCAAGGCAGGTTGGTTGGTCGGTAGATAAAATGGTGTGCAGAAACACCAATGAGGTATTTCCCTCAATTATGAATCCTCAAAAACTCAGATAATTTTGGTGTGGTGGACATTAATGAGGTATGAATGGCAAAACGAGGACAAGACCATCACTCTGATTCCGCGCGCGTTTTGAATTGCGAATTCAATTCAAATCCAAAGTCGCCGTAGACGAAGTTACCGCGTCCATGACAGAGGACAGCGGCGAGAATCGCCGCATGTCGTCGTCTTCTAATCACGAAGAACCGCCGCCGCCCATGCCTACAAACGTGCAGGTAGCGGTGCGCTGCCGTCCGCTGAACAGCCGCGAGAAGGCCGCAGGACGTGGCGCTGTCGTGCAATGCAAGCCCCACTCGAACGAACTAGCCGTGGTGAAGCGCAAGACGTACACGTTCGACCGCGTCTTCGGCCAGTATTCGACCCAGAAGGATGTATTCACGTCCGTAGTGCGCCCCGCTGTGGACGAGGCGCTGGCTGGATACAACTGCACAGTGTTCGCCTATGGCCAAACAGGTACGGGCAAGACGTACACAATGCAGGGCGACCTGTCTCCGGGCAGTGAGACAGCTGGCATCATTCCGCGTAGTGTACGCTGCATTTTCGACGCCCTGGAGGCCAGAGGGGAGGAGTTCAGTGTCCGTGTGTCCTTCTTGCAGCTCTACAATGAAGAACTCAAGGACTTATTGGATCCAGACACAGACAAGAAGCTGAGACTTATGGAGGACGTCAAAAGAGGCGGAATCTACTGCATGAACTTGCTGGAAATCACAGCCACTACGGCCAAGCATGTGTACGAGCTCGTCAACACAGGCGTGAAGAACCGCATTACGTCCGAGACGCTGATGAACGAGAACTCGAGTCGCTCGCATAGCATTTTCACCATTAGGATTCACAGCAAGGAGCACAACGCAGCGGGCGAGGATCTGCTGCGCGTAGGACAGCTGAACCTGGTGGATCTGGCTGGCTCGGAGTGCGTGGGTCGCTCGGGAGCTCGCAATGCTAGAGCGCGCGAGGCTGGAACGATTAACCAGAGTTTGCTGACGTTGGGGCGGGTCATTACGGCCCTGGTGGACAACCTCCCGCACGTTCCATACCGTGATAGTAAGCTTACGCGCTTGCTACAGGAGTCACTCGGAGGACGAGCGAAAACTACAATTATTGCAACATTAGCCCCGTGCGCTGACAGCCTTGACGAGACTCTGAGTACGCTGGAATATGCGTTCCGTGCAAAACACATCAAGAACAAACCTGAACTGAACCAGAAGATGACTAAGGCTGGATTGTTGAATGATTTTGGGAATGAGATTGAGACGCTCCGCGCTGCCTTACGTGCTGCAAGACTGAAGGACGGTGTGTACCTTCCGCTGGAGCAGTTTACCGATATGCAAGAGCGATTGGCAGGTCAGGGTGCGCAATTAACGGAGCTAGAAGAGATGCTTAAGGCAAGAAACTCGTCTTGCAAGGAGCTCGAGGAAGCTGCTGAGAAGCATGCGAACGAGGTAGCAGCACTGGCACTTGAGAAACAGGAGGTGAGCAACAAGTTGGCGGCTACTGAAGTCGAACTTATGTCGACGAAGGAAACGTTGGAGAAGACATCGCAAGAGCTACGTCAAGTACATGCTGTTCTGAAAGCTTTTCAAGACAACGAGGAGACGCTACTTGCGAACGGAGCTACTGCTGCGAAGCTGTACATTGAAAGTGACAAGCGGGCTGCTCAGCTTGTGACGAAGATTGGTACGTAGGCTGTTTCTGCTTCAGATTTTTGTTGTTCCCGCTAATAGCTAATGTTTTGCTTTCTTTTGAATGTAGAGAACACTCAGCGCTCAGAGGAAGCAAACACAGCACTGGCAACGTCTTATCGTAGTGACTCCAAGTCGCAGATCAATATGTTCCTGGAGCGACTGGCAAAACACAAGGAGAGTCAAGAAGGAATGTTTCAGGATGTGTCAAACGCTCTACGTGAGCTGCAGACAGCTCAATCAACAGATGTAGATGGTTTGGTGACGAGTCTAAATGCACTGCAAGGTCTTGTCGAAGAGCGGAGAGCACAGGTTTCTAAAGCATGCGCTGAAGATGACGCCCTAAAGCGTGCACAGCGTGACGAGGTGACCATGTCGATGAAAGAGCAGCGGGAAATTATGCAGCAACAGCTCGAGAAGTTCGTTGAGATGTCAAAGAGCCAAGCGACTGCTATCGTAGAAGACCTGGCCTCGTCTAAATCACGGACTGTGTCATTCCTGGAAAGCGTGCAGTCGACACTGGAGGGTTCTCGCGAAGAGCTGAGCAGCTTCTTAAACGAGCAGAGCGACAAATTGCTAGAACTTCAGGTCGCAATTGACATGTCAATCGAGAAGCAGTCCAAGGAACTTGACGAAAGCAAGGCAGCACTCGCGTCTGCGCTGAAGGACAGCCACGCTCAGCAACAAGAAGAACTAAATGGCATGAAGGCACATTTAGCTCAGTACATCGATAAGTGCATCCAAAGCCAAGCTCGAAAGCTTGATGAGCAGACACTGCTCATTGAAGAAAACTCGAAGAAGCAACACAAGCAAATGGCGTACGTTCAGACCATCACGGAGAAAGAGATGAAGGGCTTCGTGCAGGCCATAGGTGATCAAAACTCAAAGCATGAAAGCGAGACGGTTGGGCTTCGCGAACGTTTGTCTGAAATGCGACGTCAACTTGGTGAGACTAACATGCAGCAAACAGAGCTTATTCGGTCGCACGAACAATTGCAAACCACGTGGAGTAACGACGCTGCAATACTTGCTAAAAGGCACACGGGCGACGTGTCTTCTCTAATGGAGAAACACTCGAAGACTGATGCTGAGGTGTCGAGCAAGAGGCAAGGAGAGTTGACGCAGTTCCTGGGTGATCATGAAGAGCTCCGACAGCTTTTGAACGGCGGGTGCAAGACGCTGGAGGAGGGACTTCAAACTCAAATCGCGAGCACAAAGGGCACGATCGAGGCAGCATCGGCACTTGGAAAGGAGATCGTTGGCGAAGCCACTGATGCGACTACCCAGCAATTGCAAGCAATGGAGACGTACATGAAGAAACGAAAGGTAATTCGCAGTGAGCTCTGGGTACTGCATCTTGCAATCATTGCTAACTGTTGGGCTCGTATTCCCTTGTCTAGAATAATACGCGGACGGGAACCACTCCGATAAAAAAGGATGACCGGCCATTCCCTTCCTTTGAGGCGACTAAGGTTTCGTCTGAGCAATTGAGCGCCGTGGAGAATTCATCCATCCATACCAATGCATTAAGCAGTGCATCGATTTCCGGTCACAAGCGAAGGAGATTGAGCGATGCAAGTATCAACCAAAGCCCCACTGACGACGCCACGCCTGATGTTGAAGCCACCCCTGCGCAAGACGCACATGATATCCCAGTCAGCATCGAGCCCACTGGGGCCGTCACTGCATCAAGCAGCAGCCAGGAATCTATGAGCTCTGCATCCACCGAGTCAAGTACAACGACAAAGGGTTTGGAACCTCGAACTGAAGCCAAACCTGCCACCCCCGCCACTGCAGGAAACACCACTCCGTCCAAACTGAAGAAGGCAGGATTGTCTGGGCTACACAGAAAGAAACCCGTGGTTGCCCACCCGCATAGGAGCATGAAAGTGTCGAGTGTAGGTGCTCGCAAGATCATCAAAACGTCCGCCCTCGCCGCCCCGAAGCGGTACCGAGCCAAGTCGCCTCTAGGAGAGACCGCCAATTTCCGTTAGTCCCATCTTGTAAGCCTATTTGCTCGGTGCGAGCGTGTCAATTTATTTGGAGTCCATGCAAATGATCAAAACAATTTATTTGGAGTCCATGCAAATGATGCGAACAAAGATTCGAAGTTGCTGACGCATGTTGAAGTGGTCCATGCTGTGATTGGTAGAAAAAAAGGCTTGATGAGTGTAACGATCCTCTCTATCCGCAGCTCATTTGGACATCTGCGATGGCGAGCAAGGAGGCCTGGAAGAAAGTGGACGTGGTCGCGGCGGGGGACGTCACCGCGAAGCTTCCGCAAGGCAAGCGGCGCTATGTGACGGCGTTCCTGTGTCTCTGCGTCTCCACAATCTGCTACGCCGACCGTACGTGTGTTTGCAAGGAGCGATGATTCAAGCTCTGGAATCTGATTCTGTTGTTGCAGGTACCAACATGGGCATTGCGTTACCGGCATTTGTCACCAATAAGAAGGAACAGGGCGAAGTACTGTCCGCCTTCTTCTACGGCTACATGTGCACACAAGTAAGTCTGCACGGCTGATCATCAAGCACTGAAGAACTCGTCCTAATGTTGATCATTGCATTTTTGCTGTTGTAGATCCCTGGAGGATATTTTGCTGCCAGATTTGGTGCCAAGACTGTACTGCTAACGGGAGTTGTCGTCTGGACACTGTTTGTACGTGGCTATACATTGATTAACGCTGATTGAGGTGTATTCTGATCCTCAATGTTGTTGTCGTTCCAGGATTTGTCGACTGTTCTTGTCGCTAAATGCCTCACTTGCCTGTTCTTCACGAGGGCAGGAATGGGTCTTGGAGAGGGTATCTTGTTCCCGTGTATGCATCAAATTGCTGGTGCGTGGTATCCGGTACAGGAGCGAAGTCGCTTGGTGTCGCTGGTAGCAAGTGGTTCTGATCTAGGCACCATCTCCGCGCTGATCATTTCGCCCGCCATTATGGCAGCCAGCGGCTGGCAACGCATCTTTGTTGTGTTCGGTATGTTGAGCTTCATTTGGGTCGTGGCTTACGTGATCATGGGCGTGAGTCGACCCGAAGATGACCCCCACATCACCACTGAAGAACGCAGCTTCATCATTCGCAACCGCACAGTCGACCCAGAGACTCATCGTCGTCAGAGCTCGCGTGCTGAATTAGACACCCACGCAATGAACTGGCGTGTATTGCTGACCTCGCGGCCTGCGTGGGCGATCTACGTCGCGCACATGTGCTACAATTACAGTTGGTACATCTTACTGGGCTGGATTCCGCAATACTTTAACCAAGCTCTAGATCTCGACCTGACCAAGAAAGGAGGCTTTGCCGCTGCACTACCTTACATGTGCGGCTACACCGGGACGCTTCTGTTCGGACGACTGGGAGATCTATTGGTCACTCGCGGGTTCCGTGAACTGCACGTACGCCAGACTATGAACGCGTTCTCTTTCCTCGGATGCGCCTTCTTCCTCTTCTCTCTGCGTCTCGCAAAGTCTGCTCCCGTGGCGATAGCGTTACTATGTATGACGCTGTTTACGAGTCGGGCTGCTATGGCTGGATACTGGGTCAACATGATCGATGTGGCGCCTAACCACGCTGCACATGTGATGGGAGTCTCCAATACGTTTGGTACCATCCCTGGTATCATTGGCAATGTGGTCACGGGCGCAATTCTCGATGCTACAGGATCGTGGGATCTCGTGTTTGCCATCGCTGCACTTGTGCTTGTATTCGGTGCTGCGTTCTTCCACTGCAACGCCTCGGATAAGTCCATTTACGCGCAGCCCGGTAGCAGCTACGGAGAAGGATACAGCAGCACCAGCACGGCTTCAAGCAGCTTCACTAGTAGCCCCAGTTATGGTTTATCTCTTTCATCTTCGGAGCTACGGGACGAAGAGGCGAGCCTGCTTGAGAACCCGATGTGAAGATGAACAACGCAGAAAGTACAAGTGTTAACTTTAATGCTCATTTTGTCGCAACCTGTATCGACCCAAAGCGACCTTCTGAAGCTGCTGATGCGAGATCTCCTCGCTTGGGAATCTCTTTTGCATCTCTACGAACAAATCGGTGGCTACCACCCAGTTCTCACGTTGCTCCTCTGCGTAAATCCGTTGTATGTAGCTCTCTGCGTCTGGGTACACACGATAGGCTGTGGAGTCCTGCATCGTAGCGAATATTGGAGCCACGAGGTGGTGTTCTTCTGCTTGATTACACATCTGCATTACTTTATTGAACACTTGGACGCTAGGTGCAACACCGAAGTGCGCTTGCCAATTGGGAAGCATCCGGACAGCACAACACCATTCACCGAGAACTTCCAGTGAGTCCAACAACTGCGTCACGACAAATTCTGGTGGGACCTGGCCCGTCGCAGTGTGCCATTTGTGGAGTAGTATCGGAGCTTCAACGACCCGGTCATTGTCTTGCAACGACGTGCAGGCCACGAGGTACGCAGTAAAACTGGAGTCACTCACGAGATCACTTTTCAGGTTAACAGCGTCCTTACCTCGATCGCGATCAATAAGTCTGTCGAATATGGCGATTACACCTTCCGAGTCCTCATTCACGCTGCATACAGCTATCGCACGCTCGTACGTTGTTATATCGGGTTTCACTCGACTTCGTTGCATGTCCTGAAGTAGGTCAATAACACTAGCACGAGCCCACGTAGCCTTCTCACGCTGTTCAATCGATAAAGTCGGCCCCACTGCGGCGTCTTCAGTTTCAATTATTTTACCCGAGTCATCATTTTCCAGTTCAGCTTCCTCACTATAATTTTCCTCGTAATCTGCATCTTCGTCCTCTCCTTGATTGATGTTGTTTTTTCTCCACCATGCAGCTCGTTCTCCAGATCTAACGAAAGCTTCCAGTGCAGTATTGTAAGAAATGATATCAGGAGCCACTCCGTCCTTGTGTCGAATTATTCCTAAAACCTCCAGGGCACGTCCAGGTAAAGCAGCTTCCACGCACGCCAACAGAATCCGGTTGTATATACTGATCGAAACTCTCCCGAGCTTTTCTTCCATCTCATTCGCGATTTCCCAGGCGCTGGTTACGTAGCCGACACGTGCGTACGCGAACACCACGGGCTCGTAGGTTTCAATTGTAGGTGTAAATGCGCCTGACGTCTCGATAGCTCGAAAGAGTTCTAGCGCTCCGTCCGGATTCTTTGAGTTTGCACACAGTTGCATTGCTCCACTTAGAACTTTCAGCGTTGGTTTATAGCCGTCGTTGGTCATTAAATGGTCCAGAAAGCTCAGACCCACGTCAAACTGCTGTTGAGTCGCACAGGTGGCAAACATCAACCCGAGAGTCGTGTCATCAGGCTGAAATCCGCGCTTCTTCATCAAGTTAAAAAGCGCAAACGATTCATCCACATCACCAAGTCGGTGATAATAATCAAACGCATTGTTGAACACTCCAATGTCCAGAGATACAAGGGGAGCGTCACGACAAGTGGAAGTGATAAACTCAGACATCCAAGCCACCAGTTCCCCCTCTTGGCCTATTATAAAGTCTTCGTCCTTTTCCTCCACATCGTCCATTCCATCATCGTCATCAACTTCAACCCCAGTGGTGCTGTTATCTTCTGGGCTTTCTAAATACGTAGCGAACAATCGAAACAGCGAGTAATACGTCCCCGCTTCTGAATCGAGTTTTTGGTCTTCGGTGCACCATTCAAAGAATGAAAGCGCTTGCATCACTGTGTTCAGCCGTGTCTGAGAACTTCCATTAACTCCGTTCTTTACGCTTGTGGTATGCGCCTTGATCACCGTATTCATGGTCACTTGATCAGGGTTTACATCGTTGTCGAGCATTTCATTCACAATAGTTTCAATCTCATGAATATCTCCTCGAACCGCGCAAGCGTTCAGCAACGCGTTGTAACTCCACGTAGTCGGCGCACATTCCATTGAAGATTCTGCGTATTTTTTCATCTTCGTAAGGACAGACACAGCATCAGCCAGTTGACCCTGTCTCCCGCAAGCACCTAACACGGCATTAAAATCATTTGCACTTGCGTTTTTGGCGCGAATCATTTCATCTAAAAGATGTAGCTTTCCCTCCAGTTTCAAGGATTGTTTTTGGATAGATCGGTCAGTCTTAGGGGCAGGAGTGTGCAAGTGCATTCGTTCCACGGCACGCTCAAGGCTTTGCTCCTGGCTTCGATTTCGAAAGAAAGCTTCTTGATGTAACGGCGTCATTCGGGTCCAGTCTTGTTCATCCAGCGCCCATACTACAGGTGGAGAAATAACGTCACGTTTTGCGATCAACCCCTCCAGTTTTAGCGTGTTTCGTGCGTCTCTTTCAACGTCAGTAACAAATGTATCTTCTTCGTCGGTCCTTTTCACAAGACCAAGCACAAACTCCGCTGCGTCCCAATCCCCACGCTGCCGACAAGCATCAGCCAGTGAATTCACCACTTGGCGCTTCAGCGGCAGCATTATCGTTTCCGCTCGAGGGAATTCTTTCTCAACACCACGCAAATATTTTACCGCGCCATTCACAGCACCTTCACAAAGCAGATAATACACCATCGTCCGGGTCATGACAGTGTTGGGAACCAAGCCGAACTCATCCCGCGCGCGTTTCACTAGCTCCAGCATCACCTCCGACCGTCCACTATCTCGTGAGTACACTCTCAGCATCGCATTAATCACCAAAATCGTCGGTTTAATTCCAAAAGCCAACATCTCGTCGAAATACCCTTCTGCTATGTTCACGAGCCCTTGTTTCCTCGCACAACAGTTGATCAGGAAGCCATAGATCCTATCATCTGGCTCTCGCCCACTCTCCTCCATTTTCTCCAGTACATGCCTCGCACTGCGTAGATGTCGGGCTCGACTACACGCTGCCATCGCCACTTGAAAACTCTTCTGGTCTGCACACCCTTGAGCCACCATGACGTCCAGCAGCGCCAGAATGCGGGTCAAATTCGCATTCACCAGGGTCTTCTGTTGTCTGCAATAGTGACGCAGCAGCAAGTTGTATGTGAACGGCCAGAGCACGGCCCTTTCCGGGTGTCGTCGATGCAGAGTCTCAACAACGGCCCATGCGCGATTGAGGTCTCCCTGCTCCAGGGCCTCCACAACTCGGCGGTTGTAGAACCTTCTACCTCTCTCCGACGGCAATGAGTGCTCCACGTCTTTCACGGCGGCGCGTAGTCTCCACGACAAATTAGAAGCTTCAGCAAGTCGCTGCAGCGCGCTGTGACGAGCTTCTTGGCCATCATTCGAAACTAATACTGCGAACTGACGAGTATGAAGTCCTTCAACTGATAGAACAGCGTCTCTACTACTAGCACTGAGTGAACCAGCGAGTGAGGAGTTGCATATCCGGCGCAACAGGCCGCGCCGGAACGCCATCACCTGCGCCCCAGCCATTGTGCACCTCCAGTCTTATAAACCGCTCAACAGCCTTTTCTTCCAATCAAAGTGTAGACGCATTTGATCAACGAGAGTGATGGTCTTTCGCGCAATTTGGCCAATCATTGCAGCCTTTCCACACTTTGAACACGTCCAGAAACATGCTGCGTCGACGCGGTGGCGGCGCGCAGTTCAAGCCGTTCGTGCTGCCCGTGAAGGGCAAGGCAGCGCCCGTTCAGACTCAAGACGATGATGGGGATGCATATGAAGATGCTGAGGCCGCCAGCAATCGTCAGGCGCTGCGTAGTGGCGCGTCGCTGTCTGTCAAGCGGCTCCCATTCCTGTCTTTCCTGGTGATGGAGCCCGAACGCCGTGCACAGCGCGTACGACGTCCATTCAAGTCACCGTGTGGAGAAAGTGGCCGCACACAGGAGAGCAACCGCCTGCTTCAGACTAAGACGCTCGGAATGCGACGACGCTGGGGCTCTTTAGTGTTGAAGCCCATGGTACGCCATGACATGCCGCCTGTTGAAGTGGACGTCGAGGAGATCGAAACGCCCGTTGAGCCAGAGCCTGTAACAGTAGAAGAGCCTGCTCCTGTTGCAGCTCCAGTAGCCGATGCGCCACCTCCACTTGTACTATGGCAGAGTGAGACGGACCCCGAGATTAAAGTTGTGGTGCCCGAGATCGTGGGCAAGTTCCTGCGTCCTCATCAACGGGAAGGCGTACAGTTCATGTTCGACTGTGTATGTCAAGTGAAGGGCTTCGACGGTCAAGGATGCATCCTGGCTGATGATATGGGTCTCGGTAAGACTCTACAGAGTATTACGTTGATGTATACGCTGCTGATGACCGGCATGGACATGAAGCCGACGGTAAACCGAGCTATTGTGGTGTGTCCGACGTCGCTAGTGAAGAATTGGGACGACGAAATTATCAAATGGCTACATGGACGTGTGAAAACAGTGGCGCTGTATGAAGCCAAGCGGGAAACAGTGATCAAAGGCATTAACCAGTTTATTGAGGGAAGCAAGAGGCCACGACCCGGATTCTCTGCCCAAGTGCTGATCATTTCGTACGAGACGTTCCGTATGCACGTCCAGAAGTTCGCAGACACACCAGCTTGCTGTGAACTGCTAATTTGTGACGAAGCCCATCGACTCAAGAACGCCAACTCACAGATTAACAAGGCACTATCGTCCTTGGCATGTCGGAAACGTGTGCTTCTGTCTGGTACACCGATGCAGAATGACCTGGAAGAGTTTTTCGCGATGGTGGACTTTACGAACCCAAATATTCTTGGCACGCCAAGTGAGTTTAGGAAGAATTACCTGGGACCTATCTTAATTGGACGTGAGCCGGACTCAACGGACCGAGAGCGAGAAGTGGCGCAGTCGTGCTCGGCTATGCTGTGTGAAGTCGTGAATCAGTTCATTCTGCGTCGAGGCAACATTCTAAACGCCAAACACCTTCCACCAAAACTAATGCAGGTGATTTGTTGCCCGCTATCTCCACTTCAAGAGCAACTCTATAATCATTTCCTGTCGTCCAGTGCTTGTCGTGATATGATGAAGCGTTCGAGCGCGAACGTTCTGTCTTCTATCACTGCGTTAAAGAAGTTGTGCAACCACCCGCTGCTTATATTTGATGAGATGGGGAAAACCAATACCAAGCTTCCTGGGTTTAGCAACTGTGCTCAGTATTTTGCATCGGCGAAGGAATCCAGACGAAGCGGAGGTGATGATAACCAGCATCGGCGAGGATTTGGTGGACGTACATGTTACCCTGAGTGGTCCGGAAAGATGCTTCTACTCGACCGATTGATGTTTTCGATGAGAAAAACAACAACAGACCGGATCGTGATCGTGTCGAACTACACTCAGACGTTGGATGTGGTCTCTACACTCTGTCAGGAGAGACATCTGCCATTTGTTCGTCTGGATGGAACGACTTCTGCCAAGAAGCGAAAAAAGCTTGTCGACACTTTCAATGACCCGACAACGAACTCGTTTGCGTTCTTACTGTCAAGTAAAGCTGGAGGCTGTGGTTTGAACTTAATTGGCGCGAATCGATTGGTGCTCTTTGATCCTGATTGGAATCCCGCGACAGACAAACAAGCTGCTGCTCGGGTGTGGCGTGAGGGGCAGAAAAAGATGTGCTACGTGTACCGCTTCCTAGCGACGGGGACTCTGGAAGAAAAGATCTTCCAACGTCAGCTCTCCAAAGAGGGGCTTCAGAATATCGTCGATGATAAAGAGGAGGTGAACTCGCTGTCTTCTAAGGACCTCAAGAGACTGTTTGTGTTCCGGAAAGACACCATGTCCGACACCCACGATCAGCTGAAATGTGATCGTTGTCAATGGAGAGATACTGGTAACGAAGCTCCATCCGTAATAACGATCGATGGTAATGATGACAATGGGAAGGAAATAGGAAACGAAACTTCGCCTGATCGAGGTACTACCAGTGACGAGGACGTTGACAAGGACACAGACAAAGGATATCATCCGCAAATTGGCATGCCACCAGAAGAAGATTTGAACAGTTGGGGGCATCACCGCTCCTATGCATCAGTCGACGACGAAGTGATGCAGGCAGCGTTACAACAAGTGCAGAATGACCTTGTGAGCTTTGCTTTCAGTTGCCGCATTGACTGGGAGTTGCTTCAAGAACATCAAGCTGAAAACGAAGAAAAAGACAACCAGCGTGATGAAGAGCGGAAGCGGAAGCGTATGGAGATTATCGAGGCTGCGAAACACCGTGCTGAACAAGAAAGCAAGACCAAACGCCCAAAAAACAAGAAACGCAAAAGTATCGACGATTCCGACGAATCTGAGGCTGGATCAAGCACCGATGAAGACGAACCTGACGAAGTTTTGGGCGAAAGTGAATCAGAAAGCGAACAAGAAGACGATTTTCTGTCGCGACCTCGCACTTCCGAGGCCTCTGAAGTTGACATTTCATGTACTCCAAAGCCACCACTCCGACGTCCTGTGCTATCGACGAGCTCACTAGAGGAATCGTCTCATCCGGCTCCAGTCCAGTCTGAACCAGCCGCCGCACCTGCCAAGATAAAACGGAGTGTGTCATTTGCTCCGGAGGTTGACGAAGGCTCATGGTCACCGTCGAAGAAGCGAAAAACAAGCGACTTCTCCGACTCCGAAGACGAGGATGCCTTCGTCGAGAATGTCCTTAGCGATCACCGCCGCTCAGCCCGTGAAAAAGTCGTAGATGCGGGCGAACAGCACAGCACAAATAAGCCTGCGGCTGCTTGGAGCTGTTCACGTTGCACTTTGATCAATCTGCAAACCAACGCCAGCTGCTCAAGCTGCGGCCATCGCTACCGACGAGCTCGACCTCAAATTATCGATCTGGGCGACGATGACGATGAAGACTGGTAGAAATAACGTCATAGAATTTATTGTCATCGTCTTTTATTCTGCATTGATGGCAGTCTAACACTGTAGTTTACTCAATAGAAGCTCCCTTCTTCGACCGAGGAAAAGCTTTAGCGACTGTTGTAATCTCCTCACACCTCAGTGATTCCCATAGGTCATCCGTCTTCTGCGAGATCTCCCGTTTATCTTTCTGAGGTTCCTTCTGCTTGCGACGTGCCATCGATGGCCGCTTTTTAGAATAAACATTCAGGAGATCAATTTCAGCTGCTTGCAGGGATTTCCATGCATCTTCAGCCTCGCCAGCAAGTGCATTTGACGACGATGAGGTGGTGCTGGCAACATTATTGAGTGTACACTGTTGAAAGTTCGGTGTCAACTCGTCCTCCTCCTGATTGCGCTGTTGCAGCCGCTCCAGCAACGGAGCAATGGAAGGGTTACCAGGTTCAAGTTGCTTCACTGCCGATGCGTCCTCTATTGCCAGCTACAAAGATTATAAACGGTGTGTCACTGGAAAGATACTTACAGATGCGTACTATTCCATCCTACCTTCCACTGCCCTCTGCGCTCTCGTGCAAGTGCTCGTCGGTAAAATGCCTTTACACAAGACGCATCCTTTGCAATCACAGAGCTGCAGTCCTGCTCCGCTGCAGCTAGCGTGGCCTCACTACTCTCGTCGTTAGGTATTTGGACCCATGCCCACGCGCGGTTCAGTCGCACTGCAATTTCGAGTCGTGCGGCGGTTTCATCAACAGGACCGGAGTCTCGCAGCTTATCGAGTACGGAGGTGTAGACTCGCACAGCCTCATCAAAGCGTTGCTGCTGAAATAGAGCGTTGCCCTCGTTCTTCATCGCCTCCATCACATCCATTATTTATGCCCGTATCCAAGAGCAGGAGTTGAAGCGAGCCGCACCCTTTCGTGTTCCGCGTCCTAATTCGTCAAAAGGATGTGCGCATGTCGATTGGCAGATTCTGAGACTAATTCGCCATTTTGGCCAATCACCCAGTACTGACACCCTGACACGCTTTTTAGACACTATTGCACACATTTTGACCCGATCCTTAGTCTAATTGTACAGACACACCGGGCTTCGAAGTATGCTACGAATTGTAATTTACTATTCTAAGTACGAATTGAAACTGTAATTTACTATTCTAAGTACGAATTGAAACTGCGTCTACGGTGGGACTCGAACTCACGCCAACGAACGTCTGGCGCAAAGCCGCACCACTGTAGCTATCTGAGCCACTGGCAGCAAACAATTCCTTGGCACCAGGACACAATAAAACACTTGCCGACTCCGCTCGTCGAGAAGTAAAGCATTTTTAGTATAAATTTGTTGGAACGGTGCGCTGCACGACACAATAGTAACTCAACAGTTCTGTCCTAGTTTGCGTCTCTAACAGCCTAGGGGTTCACGATGCTCTTGGCGAACGCCTCGACGTTGGCGGCACGGGTGGCTGTGTCAGGTGCGTCCTCGATGATCTTGACAATCTTGGAGCCGATAACAACGCCATCCGCGAGAGCGCTGGCCTGTACGAAATGCTGGCGGGTCGATAGACCGAAGCCCAGCGCTAGCGGGTGCTTCACGTTGGCACGAACTGCAGCGAGTTAAACAGAACACGTTAGATCGACTTTCCACCATGCATAAAGCCGCAACAACAAGGAACTTACTCTTAGCCATGAACACATCGAGGTTCGGCGGCAGTTCATTACGTGCGCCAGTGACACCCGTGAGGCTCACGCAGTATACGAAGCCATGAGCCACAGAGTCAATCAGCTTCATGCGCTCCTCTGTCGTCGTAGGGGACACCAGCGGGATGTAGGCAAGTCCGTGCTTAGCTGCGTCATCACTGAGCGACTTGGCCTCCTCAGGCGGCAAGTCCACAATAATGAATCCGTCCACTCCAGCTGCCGTGCCGAAGGAATGATGATCAGTTAAATGAGTGCAAACACCTCCAGCGTCAATTGCAGTCGTACCGTTTTGGGCATCGGGGCAGATTTTGTCCTCTCCGTACTGCATGATGTTGTTGTAGTAGCCCATGAGCACCACCGGCGTGGTAAGACCCTTGCTGCGTGCCTCACTCACTGTGGCCAGGACGTCATGCAGCGTGATGCCCTGGTCCACGCCCACCTGGTGGGCGCGCTGGATGGTCGGGCCATCAGCCTGCGGGTCCGAGTATGGGATTCCAACCTCAATAATGTTGGCGCCACCACGCTGCAGCCCCAGCAAGATGTCCACCGTGTCAGCCTTGGTCTTGAAGCCACAGGGCACGAAGGTGATGAAGGCCGCCGTGTTGCTAGCCTTGCGCTCAGCGATAACTTCTGAGATCGTCGGTCTGCAGCAAACCAGAGGAATATAATCAGTAAAAATGTTGTTAAACCTGCATGAAAACACTGAGATGCCGCCCGTACCTGCTCATGTTGCTGCGGTTTGCTACTTGTGTGGAGATTCTGAGTATGACGCTGTGGTTTGATGAAAAATGCAGACGACACTCTGCCCCGCAAAACGACATTCTCTTCTGCAATTGGTCATAAAGGGTTTAAAACGCAATTTTGACCAACCGCTGATCAAAATGATGCGCATAATCTTGATTTTGCGCATAGAACCCCTACCAACCAATCGGATGTGACGATGGTGATGGCAACGTCACAGTGCAACAAGAATTTAAGCAATTGAGCTGCTAAAGCAACAGCATGATACTGTATTAATCTACACGCAAGCGTTTCTTGTGCAATCCATTCTTTTTGGGCTGGATGTGGCTGCGGATGCCGCAGGTGGAACAGATGGGCCGGAACTCGCAAAACAGCGACAGACACACGGGACACACGTACGCCGTGGAGATGACTTCGCGGTGGCAAAAGCACATTGCACGAAAGTCCACTGAGTCCTGCGACGGCAACTTCAAAAGTTTGCGCATGGACGGATCTGGGAGATAGATCGAGATCAGATACTGCAGCAGTCCGCTGTGGTCGTTAGGCTTGTAGTAAATACCGCCCGTAAGATACGCTGCTTGCTGCATGAACGACGAGTGCTCCGTCGAAAGGATGCAGGCATCCACTGCAACGTTCTTCTTCTGGGCCGAGAAGATGCCGTTCATGATTGCAATATAGTGCTCCGACACGTCCGGAGACTTCTGGATGACCAAGATACGTGGTCGCAGATCCGGCTCCTCGTTAATAGCACGATTAATGACTGCATGCCATTGGATAACAGTGTTAGTTTCTATATCATAATTTGTTCAACATTGCAGCAACTCACAGCAAAGTGAGCGCGATAGCGACGCAGCAATGGCCGTTTGGTTGGGCTTGGCTGGGTCCAGAGGAGCGTCGCTGAGCTGCTGCAAACGTTGCAAGACGCCAGCGTTGACCTTAGCAGCCTGTTCAGCACTCCCGGTAGTATCGTCTTGCTCTGGATCCGGATATAGCATGGTGCTCTTGCCAGCGTGGGCCGCAATGATCACAATGCGGTTACTGCGATGAAGGAGCAGGTACGAGTTGACGAACACGAGCGTACTGGAGATCAGCTGCTGCAGCCCGGCGCGGTCAGCGGTACTCCCGCCCAGTGCGAACCAGTGCACGGGGTTGGTGTCGATCACGAGCACCAACAGGCCTTCGTTGGCCTCGCTGCTGATCGCTCCGTTCGCCTGCGCCATACTCGATCACGAATTATGGATTGAGTTTAGGTTTTGTACACAAAAATTGCAGAAGAAGTACCGTAACATTCACTTTATGTGCATTAGTTACAACTACTGAGACCTAAAGGTAGTCTGCTGCATTAAAGGCTCCAGAACATGGTGGAGACGACACCAAGGACAGCGGCGAAGCTGGCGGCCACAAGCTGCGACGATCCATTCTCAGTCGAGATGCTGGACGATCCAGCCTTATCAGTACTCGAGGACGACTGGGTAGTAGAGGTGCCAGACGTGGTGGACGTGCCCGTCGAGGTGCCGTCGCCAGGAGCGACCGTGCCCGCACCGACGGTCGTGCTCGTCGATCCAGAGGAAGTGGTGTCAGAGCTGCCTGACATCCCCAGATCTCCGTTCTTGGTGAACTTGAGGCTCTCGTACGCCGGCTTCATCGTTCCCTTCTCGTCGAAGATGCCGAAGTGCGACTCGACCGTAGTAGCATCATCCGCCTGCTCCTCCTTGTAGGGAGTGTCGAAGCCCGCGAAGTAGTAATACTTCCAGCCCTTGGACTCGGCCAACTGATAGAAATCGTTCAAGTAGATGGCGCCGTTCTCCTCTGAAGCCACCGATCCGTTCGTGGCCGAGCCACCCGTGGGCCAACCCGTCTCACTGATGATGACTTCCATGTCGCCAGCCATCTTGAGCAGAGGCTGGATACGCTTGTTGAACTGTGCCGCAGCCTTGTCGGCCTCAATCTTCTCCCAGAAGGGGAACTGGTTGATCGTTACAATGTCGCCGGCCTTAAGCATGTCCGGGTACTGCACGAACGTGTCGATGATGTCCGTGATACTGACTGGCACGCTGATGTCGTTGTCCGACATGACCTTCTTGAAGTCGGTCACGTACTTGATAGCCTGCTCAGCCGAGATGTCCTCACGGTACACGGCCTCACTACCAACGTTGATACCCACAACGTTGCTGTCGATGAGGCCAGCGCTGATCAGCTCCTTGAAGGCCTTGACCTCAGCGTCGTACACCTTCTCGTCCTCGGACACCCAGACACCAAGCCACACAGTGAGCGACAGGTCCTTGGCAGCCTTGAGCACGCCCGTCACGTCGCAGTCTGAAAGACTGTAGGTGCGCACGTTGGACGTGATGGTGCTGAGGACCTTGAGGTCAGCAGCGATGGTGTCCGCTGACTTGCACTTGCTGGGATCCCAGTCCGGGCCCTGACGCAGGTCGTAGTTGAGACCGTAGAGCTTCTGGTCCAGCGCCGAAGTCGAGGACGCCAGAGCAGCCACAGCAGCGGCGGAGAGGGCGAGCACGCGAACCATCTTGTCTTAAGATCGAAAGGGGGAAACCTGAGTTATACCGCTTGAACTCCGTCGAGGAAAGCAAATCGGTGAATGGAGAGAGAGAGTCAGCTGACGCGCAACGCCAGATGATTCGCAGACGGTTTGCGGGAAATCGCAGCTCCTTTTCCGCCAATGGAAATGGCCTGAGTTATCGCCCCGTTGATAAACTGCAATGGGTTGAAGTAACCAACGCACCCAAGGCGCTGCGTTCGCCACCAACGTTAATGCATGGAGGTACGTTGGAAGACAATGACGAAGCAACGTGCAAGGATTAATAGCTACTGCATCTTCTGTCTCCTTTGCGATCTCCGATGGTGCGGTAATGGTGATCGTTTGTGCACGGCGGTCAGAGCACGGACAGCGGAAGTCCGCTTTTTACTGTTTGAACGCATGCGACTTGACGCTCGCTGTAATGTATCCATGTCGTGCGTTGCAGTCTGCAGAGCGCTGCTCATGACGTCGAGGGACGGAATGAGTGGCGGCAGTGCCTCGATTGTTTTGGCTGTAGTACTGAGTCTCCCCGGCGTCACGATCTCGGAATCAATGTGATGCGTTGGGCGCGACTGGAAAATGAAGTCTCGAAAGGTGATTTGTTACTGATTAAAGTTATTGTCAGGTTCGCGACGGCCAGCAAAGGAGTTGAAGATCTGCTCCAATGTGGTCTGCGAGAGGCTGTACTCCTTGATGCCCAGTCGGCCTTTCGCGGCTTCCACGACCTCGAACATGCGCGATAGTACAGCGGCTATCGGCTCTTGACTTTGCGTTGAAGCATCGATGGCCTCACTTCTTGGAGCAGTCACTTTGTACCGACAGAAATCCGCCTGACGTTCGATGAGAGCGACGCCGTTGAATCGAGTATGAAGAAATTTATCCAAACGCTGCACGCTATCCTCCAACAACCACCAATTGCAAAAAGATGCAATATCGACAGCACAATTGCCTCGGTTTAACTGTGTGGAGAAGCTTGCAATCGCATGGTCTGCATACGATGTATTACCGAGCGCTGAGCATACGCCAACAATCTGTGGAGCTGTGATCTGGATTCCATCGTTTAGAGTAGGAGTCTGAAGGTGCTCACAAACAAGCTGTACCAAGTCAGAGTAAGCGTGTCGAGGAGGCAAATCCAGTTTACATTCCAACATGAACCCGTCCCCAAATCGATTTTTCAGGTGTGGGATGCTACCAAAGCACCGCAGAGCACCGTCCACCATGATCCCAGCCTTGCTATATAGAGCTTCGCACTCCTCCATGGAATGTGTAGTTAACATTACAGTGGACTTCCTAGATTTCACCGACGCCTCCAAGATAACGTCCCATAGTAATCGACGTGAGAATGGATCAACACCAGTTGATGGTTCATCCAGCACCAGAACACTTGGGTCGCCTATCATCGCGATCGCTAGTGACAATTTGCGCTTGTTGCCACCACTCAAACTACCTGCAAGTTTATTGGCGAAGCTTTGGATCTGAAGCTTGTTGAGTAAGCGATCCACTTCCATCTTGAGTCTGTCGTTGGTATCGAAACCTTTGAATCGACCAAATAGCTCAAGATGTTCACGGACTGTTAGTAGATCAATCAGAGCGTCAAATTGGGGACAATAGCCGATCGAATCGCGGGCTTTGCTTCGTTCCTTGCAGATGTCAAAGCCGTTGATCATTGCAGTGCCCGATGTCGGTAGTAAGTCGCCTGTGAGAACTTTTATAGTTGTCGTTTTGCCAGCACCATTCACTCCAAGGAACCCGTAACATTCGCCTTGCTGCAGTCCAAATGAGAGGCACTTCACAGCCTTTTTTCCGTTCGGATAAACCTTCTCAAGCTCGAAGATCTGGACGACTTCAGAGTTGGCAGCAAGCGACCTATAGCTCTCCTGTACTCGTCGAGCCTCTGCAGCCACGTCTGGATCGATGTTCTCACTGGCAATCACCCTGTCTCCGGTGAATTTCTGCTGAATATGGAGCCTGGTACTGGTACATGGCACACGCGTGTACATGCGTCGTGCGGTATTGATCTTATCCATGAACTGAACGATACGCCAGCGTACGGTTCCAGCTTTAACAGCATCAATCCCTACGGCAAGGAGAAGAAACACCGGACATTCGATCAGCAAATACCAAATGTCAGTTCCAGCCACATCAGCATCAAACGCACTGCGTGGTGAGCTAGTGAGGCCGAACAGTGCTAATAAATCTGCCATCAGGACGTTGAGAAATCCATTTCCAAAGGCAAACAGAGGCGAGCAACGCCAAATGTAAACCAGAACTTCGTTCGCTGGTCGGGTCGAGTCCAGTGAGTTCATCGTGAAGCTTAGAAGTAGCAGCAGAAGACCCAGAAAGAAGTTGATCATAACTGTATAGAGTAAGCACTCGCTTGGCTTCTCCATGACATGAGATAACAAGTACGTCCACGGAGCAATGGCAGTGCCAAATAATACGAAGAGTGTAACCATGGCGGCTGGCACGTCTCGAGTGCACGAGTCACAAGTGTCTCCGCTACTGAGGGACTTCGTAACGCCATACGAACGAAGAAGCAAAAGCGTCGCGACCATCGGCACGAGATATAAAGCCATGTCGAAGATGAAATTCGACAACCAGTACGCAAAAAATGACATTCCAGAAAGTAGTTGTTGGTACTTGGCGTTCTGCTCCAGATGCTTCTCCTTGACAATGTAAGGCATCATTGAGGCTGGTATGAAAGTGAAGGCGATTACGATGAAAATCACAGCAGGGAAACTCAGATATGAGCTAAAGATTGAACGTGTCTTGAAAGAAAGAGGTAGCGGGTGTGAAGATACACGTATGGTCACGTTGGATTTCGACCCGCTCGACGCCTTGGACAGCAAGAATCGATGGATAGCACTGTCAATCATATGCTTATACGTCGGTGCGGCGTGAGTAGAGGAACCATTGGCAAGAATGTTGTAGCTCAAAGTGTTCGTAGTTTCGGAAGCATGTAACAAGTAGCCACCAAACTGCCCTTTAACGCCAGCCCGTGATGGCAAAGCGGTCATATTGGCATCGGAGTCATATCCGTAGCCCTTTCCAAAGATCAACTCCGCAAGGCGAAGATTGTAGCCGGTTGTGTCATTTGCCTCGATAGCAGGTGAGTCGTACGTGACCCCGAATACTGTTGGTGTAGTTAATGCGCTATACACAGTCGTGTCCATCTCAAGTTCGTATGTATCACCTTCCGAAAAGTATGTTGGTTCAACCAGTTCAGAACACCATGCAGTATTCCCACCATTATTCAGATCAAGGTTGCCAGGGCAGCCAAACGGAACTGGAGTTTGCAGGGCAAGTGAATACTGCACGGTTGGAGATAGCTCTAACTTCGGGTCATTCAGTAATACCACAGAGAATTTCAATGCCGAAAGACCGACGAAGATAGCAGCAATCGGAAGAATCGTGCTGAAAAATAACATGTTGAAATCACGCCTACCGCATTGCACCCGTTTACGAAGCAAAGCCTTCATCTGGTTCGAAAATGTCCGGACTGCTCGCGTAGACGCAAACTCGGAATGCTGCAAGTCAGTATGATCACCCTCTACTGGGTCTTTCATGGCCATCGCTGCTTCACGGGGTTGAACAATAATGGACACCTTACCGTCCATTTTCGCATCTTCTCGATTTTCTTTGGCTAGTACCTCAGCACTCCCGCTCTCAGCCACTTTCAGAAATATTTCTTCGAGCGTGGTGACTGAGATGGCGAAAGAAACAATACTAAGCTCAGCCTGACGCGACTCCAGCTCACGAAACAACGCCGGAAAGCCAGCAGATGCTTCAAAGGGTAATTGAAAGGTTAACTCCGTGCCAATATCCGACGCGATGATCGCTTGAGGCACATGCTGTTGAATTAACGATGCGATCGAGTGCGAAGGTACACCATTATCACTCTGTCGCACAAAGCTGAGTCGATAGCCCACTCCAAACCGCTTCTTTAGAAACAACGAAGAGCCAACGCATTGCAACTTTCCCTCCGCCATAATAGCGATCCGATCCCCAAGAATGTCGGCCTCATCCATGAAATGGGTTGTCAAGATAACCACGCGTCCTGCGCGATTGCGCTGTATAACCTCCCATGTACTTCGACGACTGTAAGGATCCATGCCTGCTGTCGGTTCATCGAGAAAAACAACGGTACTATCACCGAGAAAAGCGATGGCAAGGGACAGTTTTCGTTGCATTCCACCGGACAGCGCGTGTGATAGAACGTTGGTCTTATCTGCTAGACCCACTTCGTTAATCTTCTTGTTGATTTCCGCAGCAAGTTCTGTTGAATTCGTAAAGCCCTTCAAACGACCGTAAAATGTCAAATGCTCCTTCACGGTCAGATCCGGGTAAAGTACGCTGTGTTGCGGACAATAACCAAGAGAGCGGCGTATTCTACGCATATCAGTGACAACAGAATGACCACGGACCCAGGCATTTCCACTGGATGGTCTCGTCATTCCAGTAAGCATAGACATTACCGTCGTTTTCCCCGCTCCATTATGGCCCAATAGACAGGTGATTTGACCCTCGTACAGCTTCAAATCGAGCCCGTGCACTGCGATTTTCTTACCTCCAGGCACCGAAAATTCCTTTCGCAATCCAGATATGACCACTGCACGCCCATTCCTTTCCTGAGTCTCCAATTCTTGTCGAACAGCTTCCACCGTGTCATTATTCGTTGCCGGTAAGTCTCCTATCTCTTCAGCAGACACTAATTTGGAAGCTTGAGGACACCAATACCCTTTTGTCAAGAAGAAATACCATTTCTCCGCCACTCCAAACTCCTGTGGAACTACTTTCTCGAAATATTTTCCAAGTAGAATGTAGAGCACAGTGTCGAGAATCTGCATCCCAATTGCATTCGCAAATCGAAAATTGTTGACTTCTTCGCTGGTATTATCATGGTTCACCCCTACTCCAAAGGATTCGAGCTTCGCAATCACTCCGATGCCTTGTGATAGTGAAATTGGTGGCAATAGCGCTGCGCATGTTCGACTGGCTTCGCTGGTATCGTCGCTGAAGCTGTAGGATAAGAAAAACATGATGAAGAACAGACCCATACCCGCCAATGATCCCGCTCGTGCTCTTGAAAAGAGACTACTGATCATGAAGCCATAACTGAAGCTGCTAGTAGCAAAAGTGAAGAAAAAAACGAAGAGCAGTGTTGTATCTGAATTGGGGAACAATAGACCATGAGCTCCAAATGTTTGCAGCATTGCCCCAAGTAGTAAGATTGGAAGATATGCAAACATCCAGCCAGCAAACAGCTCCGTATCCTTCGCTCCAAGAATCCGCATGAGTTCTCGAGATCTCGTTTCTTTCTCGATGAGAAACGACACGATAACACGCGACACGAGATACAGATAGGAGAGAACGAAGCCTATGGGAAACACTACGGCGATCTTGTCAAAAAATGGAGCGTACCGAAATGACTGCGTTGGAGTTCCGTAGACCCCTGCGCCATGGTACGATTGAGGAGCCATTCGCAATGGTATTAGCAGTTTTTCCACACTTAATGGCGGAATCGTATCCACAGAGACATTCGGGAGAGTCACCGATGCGATATTGGTAATCAGATCCTTGACCGAGTTCAGCAAAGTGAAGGCCGTACCAATGATCATATCTTTTTCGAGTTGCTCGAGCAGCCGACGATCATTCTGTGCACTTGCAGCCATCACAGCCTGATCGATTTGACACGTTCCATTTGTTGTCTCGGACTGTACATCCCACATTGGCATGCAGTTGAGAAAGCGTGCCACTAGGGTCTGGAGCGTCATAAAGCCTCGAGTTGCATACTTCATAGTGTTTTCCGCGGGTACAAATTTTGAAATGGTGTTGGGTCTCGGCTTCTTGGTCTTTGGTACTGCAGAAGCACTTCCAGTCGAGTTAAATCGCAACGAATATGCAATCGAATATCCTTCCAAGTCACCAAAAGTAGAAATGTCGTGCGGAAATTCCTCAAAAGCGATGGCTGCGTAGATTTTTGGGTGCCGTACTTCTGTGCCATATTCTTCACTGGTCACATACGTCTCCAGCGCTGTTTCATTGTCGAAAAATATGTGCGAATCAGCAAAACTTGGGATTGTCAAGAGCGAAATACTCCTCACGGGTGGAGCAAGAGCGATGCGTGGGTACCACGTTTCTAATGCAGCAGCGAAGTATTCTCGTGTATATGGCGTATCGGGGGTTATCGCAATCTTGTATGGCACAACTCTGCCCTTACATGCATTGGGAACATGATAAGTTGTGCGCTCAGCTCCGGTGTAACCAAACAGCAGGAACTTTAGAGCACAATCCGTGAGTCCGTCTTCTCCTAGTTCGGCGAGGTTGTTGCCTTCCATGAGAGCTTGCAGCGATAAACTCAGTAGTAATCCAGGCATCGTCGTTTCAGTGAAGTAAAATCTTGGAATCTGGAGACTGCTACTGAGCGTCTCTAGCAATGATGCAGCCGAAAATGTTCCACCCGACGAGTTGTTGCTGCCGCTTGCACTATTTGAATCGTCCGGTACGACGATTCCTGCACTGCTCAAACCTTCATTTAAAACGGACTCCATATCTGTCATGGCGTAGAGATTCCAAGTAGATCCGTAGGTAGAAGATGACTCGTTAACATCGCTTGTGGCCCATCCTGCAGGGATAATCAAGTCTGGCTCAAACCTTTTAAGTGCCACGAACAGCAAGATGCATAGTAACGGATTGAGAATTTCACTCCACGTCGCGAACGGATGTCGTCTCTTGACCGTCCAGTTCTTGACCACCAGAGCTCGTAGCACCGGCAGTGTGCGGCCGGTTCTCATTCGTTGCCACTAGAGAAGATAGACTGCAGCACAAAATCTGGAATGCACAAGCACTAAATCAAAAGTACAATGATAAAATAGTAAGGAAAAACGGACGCTATATCGGCTATTCCTAGTGTTTCAGTAACGTTGGCGTCATCGTTATCAATACTTTAGCAGGTTATCTCACTTGTCTGCTGCCTCTTTTGCTTCACGTTTGGCTTTAGCTGCTGCTATCTGCATGAGTTAACGGCGATTAATGTGTTAGTAAAGAAAATTTGCTAGCTTCATCTCTTCTGCCTTACCTTGGCTGCCATTGCCTCTTTCCGGCTACCGAATTTGCGGTTTTTGCCGTGGATACGACTCGCCTGTCCACTGGCAGTAGTGGCCGCGATGGCCTGCGCTGCCGTCTCCTCACACGCCTGCTTGAGCTTGAGTGCTACCCGCTTGTGCTGGATGTCCGCCATGGTCGCAGAATCTAAAATGCCAGAATACGTTGATAAAGTTTACTATAAAACAAGCAAAAATCTGAAATTACAAAGAAAAGCCACACAAAAATGATTGCGAGACCTATTTCTATGGCCGCGACGGATCAATTGCTACAAGGAAAATCATCATGACGACGATGTCTCGAGGCAGTATTTCTTCCGTCAAGAAGGCCGCGTCAACCGCGGAAGGTACGTGGTCATGATTGCAAGGTGTATGTACATTGGACGCCATGCTAACCGCTGCGTTCCATGCTGTGGTTGTCAATGCAGCTCCGATCTGGAAATCGTACCTGGCCATTCGTTCGTCGACGCCCAGCGATGTTCCCAATGCCACCAACGTATCAGATCGTGTGAGTAAATCTACTGCAATTGGGAATTCCCGTGGCCGGAAGAGATCGAAGCCTTCTGGCGGAGCGCACGGGCCAGGAACGGGCATCTGGATGACCTTGGCCACCCCCTTGACTCGTGAAGAGGACGGCGGCGCCGTGCTGACAAGCGTGCGCCGCTATTGGGAACAGCTCAGTGTCAATGAGCGACAGCAGATATTGTTCTTGGACGAAGCGGAGCTCGTAAAGCAACTGTATAAACTCAACCTGAGTTTGTTATGCGTGGGGCTTATGCAGCGCCATCTCAAGACATCCAATCGAACAGCCACAGACGCAGTAGCAAACAATAAGAAACCCGCCGCTGTGGCATCGACGACAACAGCTTCAAAGAGTGTAGCCTCTACCCCAGTCGTGCAAGAGCAAGCAGCTACGCAGCCGTCAGCGCGTGCAGCGACAGACACTTCCTTGGAGAAAACGTACGAGCTTCTTGAAGCGATGGAGTTCATGGATATCGGCACAGGTATGTGCCAGCTTTGCCTTCGATTGTCGCTGGTTCGGCTCACGCCCTATTCTTTGTATTGTAGGTATTCTGACAGTGAAAACGGAGCTTGCCGAGGACACCGATCGATTGTTCACGCTTGTAGGAGACGTGTTAGCGGGATTCTTAACGTCGATTCACGTGCTCACAGAGAGTAACTTCAACAAGCTCTTCGTGACTGAAAGCGAGACTATTAACACATGGGCAAACTACCAGCGTCTAATTGCGATGCTAGTGGAACAGGTAAGACTTGTTCGATTCTGGTGTCGATGGTCAATGGCACTCATGTTATCGTTCTGTGGTTAAATTAGCTTATTCTGCGAAGCTACGTCACTCATTTGGAGAAAGAGGCGGCACTACAAATGGAACAATTGTTACTGGAAGTATCACTGGAGGATAAAGCAGCAGGGCATACGTCAACAGGGAACTCAGCCTCCCACAACAAGAAGAAGAGCAAGAAGAAAAAGAAGAAAAATTCGGCAGTGCATGCAGACGCAGATGTACAGCAAAATGCTACTCCCGAACGCACCAAAGACCAAGCCAACCACGAGCCAACAACACGTAATTCTGATGGCACCCACTTGCTAGACAGCATGATATCAGCAGATCCAAGTGATGAGACTCTGATGGAGGAACCAGCATTGGAACCGACACCTGAGATCGAGTCTATTCATCCAGAAAGTGACTGTCAGTCAAATTCATCGACAGCTCAAACCGATGAGGTCACGGTGGAAGAAGATGAAGCTACTCCAGCAGAAGTGGGACCCTCTTTGAAAAAGCTGTCGGCTCTTAATCCTAATGCTCTGGTTTTCCAGCCGCAGGAGCATGCAGTGGCAGTTGAAGATGTGAGTTCTCGAAATCCGTCTGCAGGCAAGCGAAAGTTCGATGAATACATCGTCAGCGTGCCGTGGGAAGATGTCGAAAGCGATGTAGGCAGTGCCTTCGACATTGGCAGCGTGGATGGAGATCTGTTTGACAGAGAAGAGGAAGCTGACGATGAAGGCGCTCAGCAGTGGGGGCGGAGGAAGCAACGTAGACGGCAAGACGATGCAGAGCTGGAGTGGCAGTTGCAACAGGTATATGCGGCAACGTCGTCACTCTTCGGCTGGGACTTTTTGCGGCAGTGTGAGCTGCCAGACCCTTGTGCTAATCTCTCCTGGAGCGAGGAAACTCTGTGGAGAACGGCGCCGAAAGAGGTGGTGCGGTACTTTTCGCCTGGAAATGGCGATGCGTATGCGAGATTCCATGTGCCACACTTTTTACCACCTGAAGCAAGTCCTCCACCTTCTCGATACTACTTCAACCCAGGGCAGCCGATGCCATTTGGGCCTCCATTGCTGGCTCCTAGAATGGAGCTGATGCCTCCTCATCTTCACGGAAGCTTTGGCTATCAATCTCCAGAGTTCCCCATGGTGGTGTCACCCGATTTCTCCATTCCACAATATCAATCGACCAGCAATGAGGATCAGGTGGACATTTAGTCCCATCTATCTGCGACGTGTGTGCAATAATTGTTTTATAAATATATAAAAATATTGATACAAATAATGTTCATTTATTGTACCATTATTTGTTAAAATTATAAAAATGTTTATTCCTTTTTATTCTCTGGATATTTATATCCAGAAATCCAGAATCCAGAAACTTAGGTGGGTTCCAGACCCCTCGTGGATCCTATGTAAACAACTATTTTTCTGCTTGTGTAAACACTCAAATCTTACTTCCTGATGATATCTGACATTCTATGCGAAATCTGGTCAATGTTGACCCAACCGGTGAAGAACGACATTCGTGTGACCTGTCACTAAAGCGGCAATCATTTAACATTGGAGCAACATCTACTGATAACTTATGACGTGCTACAGAATAGAATCTGGATTTAAGTTAACTTGACCACTTGGCCAGTCGACTTAATGTGTTCAAGTTAATTCGACCAGCATTATAGGGGGGACACTACATCATATATATTTATATGGTGTGCGGCAAGGGTTATCCGTGTTAGTTGCCAGTCCCTAACAGTTGTTTAGCGAGCTGAAAACGCCAGCTTACTCCGTTTTTGCCTTAATGGGAGCCCTAGCCTTCTTCCCGTGCTCCCCAACAAGGTGACCTTCATCCCATGTATGGGCCATGGCAGCTACTCCATTTCAGACGTCATTGGCGGAACACGTACAACACCGCTACTGTCCATTCCTCCGCCACTTTTGCTTTAACCTTAACTAACCCGCGGTAGTCTTTGCGCACCATTCAAGTGATAAAAAGAAAAAGTTTCGTAATACATTGAGCATGTTCACTTTTTACTGGAAAATGACAGTAAAAAGTCGGGACGTTGAAAACGATTCTACGACTGCTATATAAGCTCTTATTTACTTTTTACAAATGTATCTATTAGTTCTTGGAATGGGTTAGGGGTTCAATTAAATAACAATGCACATTGGGACCAAAAGATGCGAAAAAAAAACCTCGGCTTAAGAACAATTAGATTATTCGTTGAAGGTAAAATTAAGCTCTTCAATTAAAGATTCAATCAGAGTCATTACCTTGAAAAGTCACTAAAGGGTAGGGTCGGTTTTTATGAAACAGGAAAATCACCCTTCACTATGGGGAGGCTAAGAAATGTCGTGAAAACTCACTTTTTACGCTCCTTTCCAGGTTTCTAACGACCTTTTATTAAGGGATAAACACCTGCTATCTCTTATGAAGCTGGTAAGAAGTGGAGCTTGTAAAAAGTAAGGCTATGCTGAAGAGTCGCCTCTCCAGAGGCGACTCGCTTTCAAGCGACGGAGGAGGAGGAAGAGCACTGGGAGCATTGGGCTGTGTCTGGGGGCCGTCCGACGCATCGTCGACGTCTGGAAGAGCAGCAATTGGGGACCGTCGCTGCCAGGACGAGCTGTAGTAGGAGACCACCGACGGGGTGTGCAGAGCTGGACCGTTGCCGCCAAGACGAGCCGTAGCAGAGGGCCGCCAACGTCTGGGTGGATAGCAGCTACCGTCGCTGCTTCAACGCTGTAGCAGGGGACGCCATCGTTTGGGTAAGCTGTGGCTGGGAACCGTCGCCACGGGTGAGTGTGGCTGGTACCGTCGACAGAAGCATGCTCGACGGGTTGGGCATCGGATCCAAGAAGATCATGGCATCCCATAGGAGACAGGAAATCGTACGGCTTTCCTGTTTCCAATGCTCCTGGTGCCCAAAACATGTAGAGAAAGAAAGCATGCTTTCACACGTTTACAAGAAGACAGAAATTAACTCCAAACGTGTCTATTCATTGTTTTGTCTTACTTCAGTACTATGTTTTTTAATTCGTTTAAGCCAACGTGTTTCACCTTGAAGCAGCAGGTTCATGCAAGGGCAGTTATACTGGTAGTGGTAGACGGGAGCGTTTTAAAAAAATAAGATCAATCAATGTCATACATGTTACATGTAACATATATCCGTTCTTGGTAATTTTTCTATGTACTCTGTCTGATCTCCGATACATTTGTACGACGACGCATTGACTTTAAGGCACGTAAAACCTTGGATAAAGTTGCAAAAAGAGATCCATCGAGCTCGTGAAAGCACCGTCTAATCAGAATCAAAACGAAGTTGCTATCAGTACCCTATAAGTGATGTCAATAGTAATGTACAAATTGCCGTAATGGATGAACCCCAATGGGTACCATTTGTATTTGCCATGGTCCAATCTCGTGCTCGGCTTCAGGCATCGGTAAATAATACAACGTGTGAGCCCATGCAAATGATTATCCAGGGCGAACGAGGAACTGGAAAGAGCTGGCTCATTAAGCACATAGTTAAGGACGTCCACATCGTTTTTTGTGAGTACTCAGCTACTCGACGATCTTCAAAGTGAGTGCTCACCAAGGTACAGCAGCTTTCAATATTAAAGGACAGACGATCTGTTCGGCATTAGAGCTAACCTCTTTCTCTCGAAATGCATTCTCAAGTCCATATTCACCTTTGACGACCAAGAAAGGAGGTGCAACAAAACTCGAACGCCTGCAAGAACAGTACAAAGATGTACATCTTGTCATTATTAACGAATTTAGTGTAATATCGTGCGGTATGTTGTACTTGATCGATCAAAGAATGCGCGAGATATGGCCCCAACACAGTCATCAACGTTTCGGAGGTAGAGATGTAATTTTTACTGGTGACTCAGCGCAGTTAGATCCTGTAATACCACATGCTTTAGCAACACCATCCTCTAAAATCAGTAGTCCTGTTCAAGTGTTAGGTCGCGAAATTTGGGAGGAGATTTCGATTGTATGCACATTAACTAGTCAGAACTGAGGAAAAGCTGACCCAGAGTGGTTTGAAGCGTTGCACCGTCTTCGTAGTAAGTGTCCAACGCAGGCGGATGTCAATTTATTTAACTCAAGATACTGCAAAGCCAGCGAAATTCCTACTTGGGTTGTAGAAGCGAAGCACATAGCGTATTTGAATGCCGAAGTTGCTGAAGCGAATAACCATAGCCTCAAAAGCTGTTCTAACCAGATAATTAATATTCGCTCTAAACATAGTGTTAACCCTTTCGTGAACGGAAACTTTTGACCTGGCTATATAAAAGTATAGAAAGTCAAGTCATTAGGCCATCAAAGGGGGCATTTTGCCCCTTCATAATCTACGGTACTACAGCAAATATTCTGTAAATCCTTGTAATTCAAGTAGAAAGGGCGAATCCGCCTCGCCCACACACAAAAAATAATGAAAGGGGGCATTTTGACCCCACTCGTGGGTGACACGAGTGGTACTCAAGGATACGCCTCTAAAGGGGACAAAATGCCCCCATTGACCACGAAAAGGTTAAGTTAAAGCGACTAGTTAAGCACAGAGACGTATCGCCTAGCTCGATCGAAGCTCTTTTACAAGACGCCAAATCATCCGGCTCAGATAGAGATCGTGTCGTTGGAAGGCATCTCAAAATTGCTATTGGTGCTTCAGTTAGCCTGACCTACAATATGGAACAAACAGCAGGTCTGTGCAACGGAACCAGTGGAGTAGTGTACGACTTAATATTTGGCAATGAGCTTGAGCTGCCAATAATACTCATACAGATTTCAGACGAGTACATGGGGCCCTCGCTCTTGCCAGATGTACCAAACATGGTGCCTGTCGTTCCAAGAAAAGTTAGCTGGGGAAAGAAAACTAGCAATCTTACAGTATTCCGCGAAGAGATTCCGCTACGACTCCCATATGCACTTACTGTTCATAATGCAAGGCTTAACTTGCGATAAAGTCGTCTTTCACTCATTTGCCATTTCTAGCGCAGCTTTCGCTTACGCTGCGCTATCGCGAGTGCGAACTGGTGAGGATATTGTGCTTACAGCACCAGTGACTTTACAGCAGCTGCAAACTTCAAGTGATAAACAACTGTTCTTTATTAACGAAGTAAAAAGAATTCAACAAGTAGTTAGCTCAACTAAAGCAAAAGCTGAATTATTCCTTCGATGAAGCTGCTGGCATTACAACACAATCGAGCGTTGGCACCGCGGTAATTCAATTTATTCTCTTGTTGGACAAATTGCGTAAAAGCAGTAACTCAAGACTACGTTGTCGAACTTGAAAACAATTGCTATCCTAGCAAAACCATACAACTGACTCATAACTTATCTGTATGTTGCAAATTACAAAGGAATCCTTCTCTTACTGATACCACAAAGTGAACAATTCACCGTTCTTACGCCTACTTGATAATGCCCATTAAAACCGAATAACTTCCACTTAAACTTACGCGCGAGCAGTTGGGCGTGACTTGAAACTCTTGGTTTTTTTGCTCTTCTTGAGCTTGCACGCATGAGCAGCTTGGCGAACACGGAGTTCATAAACCTCACGGCCTGCAATACATTAGCATCAGCAAGCCATACATGTGTCCAAACATTATAGCATTCTTGTACGTACGATGCTGCGACTTGGCCACCTTGCCCCCACGTCCGTGAGCTGCCCGTGCAATCATCTGGGTCCTGATCACACTACGCCTGCTACCGTCGCCACTGTTGTTACTTCCTCCGTCACAAAATGGTCCGCTGCGACGACAATCTGCGCTTCCAAGCACAGAAGAAGACGCTCCATCCTCGAGCAGCAAAGGCAGAGCCATCGTATCAATAGCAGCTTCAACACTTTTTAGCGTAGCCACATGCTTGGCTGCCTGTCGTTGACCTACGAAAAAGCAATAAAAATTAAATAAACACCAACTTGAAGTGGAAGCACAAGACTCACTTGTTCGCACTGGCACAGCAGATCCAGCTTGCGCTACGTTCACAGCATCAGCATGTTAGACAGTACATCCTTAACTCAATCTACAGTCACCTCCTTACCATCACTGCCTGCGTCCCCGCCCCGACAAGCAGCTGCCGAGGCACTGCTCACCATTCTGGACCTGGGAATGAAATGTGGTCTCTTTTGGGGGACGTCGTCCAAAATTATGTGTACCACATAATTTTAGGAGGTCGGCAACTGAGAGATGCTCTCTACCGTAAAACTTATGTGCAAACGGACGTTGGCCATTTACGGACACCTTGACAGTGACCAATCAGCGATCGATTCGATC